TTCTTTATTATTTCGAATTAGTATTTTTTAATTCAATCAGTAAATACAAACTAATTTATTTAATTTACATTGCTTACATCATTTAATTTAATTCATAATATCTAGGTTTTAAATTTTTTTTTTGTTGCTGAATATAAAAATAAATTCATTTTATGGAAATAACTTCATGCTATTATTTACAAAAATGGTTAATTGAATACCTACTTACTATTAACTTAAATTATTTACAATTTTATTATTATAAAATAAGATGTAAAAATATCAATACTCTATGTTTTAATAAAATAAATCTTCTTAATTACTTTTTATTAATTTTTTATCTACTACTGATTAATATATAGGTCATCTGAAAATTCATGTTCCGCTTTAAAAAAATATGCTGATAAGACATTTCAAAGATATTTAAATGTTCTAAAATATTACCCTCCAAATGAAATGCTTGGAGAGTAAATCATCTCTAACTTGATATGAAATATTACAATTTTTGAAAATACATTTCAAATAAATATACAAGGAATTAGATACTTAATTAATCAAAGTAAATCGTCTAGTTTAAGAAGTGGTTGACACTCAAATAAATATAAATAATTAATAAATTAAATTATAAATAATAACTAATTAAATTACAAAACCTTAAAAATTAGAAATGAATAAAAAACTATTTGCTTTTATAGTAGTTTTATGCTTCTTAGAAGTTGTTTTCTCTCTTTCATGTGACATTTGTACATATAGCTAGAATGGTTTTGACACTTAGGGCCCATGTACCAAATGCCCTGTTGGATAATGTACACCTTATTCTACAACCAAGGGAACTAGTCCAAGTGTATGTGTAAGTAGACCATGTCCTAAAGGATCATATAGCACTTCAGGCTATGATGGAGATGGATCTGGTGCTGGATGTTATACTTGTCCTGCAGGTAAAACAACTCCTGGTACAACAACTAGTTCAGCAAATCTATTTAATGAATCAGATGTTTGTACTGTTACTCTTAATGCATGTGCTTAAGGTAGCTATTCTTTTACAGGATATGATACGGATGGATCTGGAACTGGATGCACACCTTGTCCTCCAGGTACATCAACTCCTAATACTAAAACTGCAGGAGATTTAACTCTTTGTACTCTTAAGGCCTGTACTAAAGGTAGGTATTCTGCCACAGGATTTGATACAGACGGATCTGGAACTGGATGTACTGCTTGTACTGCAGGAACATCAACTCTTAATACTTAAACAATAGGAACAGATAAATCTATTTGCACTCTTACTCTTAAGGCCTGTCCTGCTGGCTCATATAGTGTATCATCATTTGATTCAGATGGTAATGGATCAGGTTGTAATAAATGTGCTGTTAATACTTACTCTGCTTAAGGTGCTACTTCTTGCACTTCATGCACTAATAATCGTACCTCACCAGCTGGGTCTACTACTGTAACTGCTTGTGTATGCCCATAAGGAACATCTGGTCCTACAGATGGTGTCAGTTCATGTTCCATTACTACTAGTGGCTCAATAAACACTCTTTTTATATCACTCATTTTTATTTTAATATTTTTATTTTGAATCTAAAATAAATAAACTATATTTTCAGTATGATTAGTGCTACTAAGTGTATTGTTACTCATTTTAATTTTTAAGTTTATTTTCAAAAGAAGATATTTCAAAAACCATAAATTATGAAAACTAATTTTAATTAATAGTTTATTGTTGATAAGAAAGCTTAGAAGATTTATTCTAAAATTTTTTCTAAACAAAAAGTTGTAAAATCAAATAATAATTTATCAAAAATTAAATATTTAGTTAAACATTTTTATCCTTTAATTTTTTTTTACTAGGTTCAAAACCTATTTTTAATTCCATTTATTTATAGTAATAAAAATTTTTAATTAAATTAAATATATAATGAATGGCTAATAACTAAATAAAACTCCCCAAATAACAATCCTCTAAAGAGATACATGTGTATTAGATGCAATAATTGTAAAAAATTCTTCCAAATTTTTGTTATTTGTCCGTAAATATGTTTTAATGAGGTAAACAAACTTAAGAATCAAAGAGGTAAGGTATTACTAACTATTATTACTAAAATGTTTGGTTGAATTCAATTTTTTTTATTAATAGAAATTTTTTCATTTAATTTTTCAAATTAACAAAGTGATAAAATTTCGAAATGCCAAAACTTTGTAGATGAACTCTAAAATTTAGTGAAAACTTGACACTTTAAAAAGAAAAAGAAACCAATAATCATAAAATTGAAATAGTTTTGCCCTAAGGTGGAGCAAAAGGACACACATCTATGATTCTAAGAAGTTCTTTATATTAAACTCATCCATAATCCGGCTTGGTCACCAGATTTAATAGCTATTGAGCTTATTTGTGCTTGAATGAAAAAAATATTTAAAAAAAGAATAATTAATTCTAAAATTTTGAATAAAAGTCAATAAATGTAAATTATTATTGATATTTTGGAATCCTAAATAAATTAAGAAGTAATAAATTAATGAATAAATCATAGTTAATATTAAATCAGATATGTATTTTAAAATTAAGGGAGTTATTGATATATATATTTTTATTTCTTTTCTACTATAATTGTTATTTCGATTGTTGTTTGATCATTAGTAATATTTTCACAATTGGTAATAGCTTAAATCGTTAATTATTTATATAATATCAATTACAGAAGTATTTCACATTAACTCTATATTCATAATCTTTAGAAAGAGGTTGATATTAAAAATAAAAAAATTATTACCAGATTTCATTTAAAAAATTTTAGTTAATTGTGCGATTTTTTATGGGTGCAGTTATTTTAATGATGATGTCTACCTTAAATATAATATATTATTCTAAAAAAAGAAACATTCTCATTATTTGAGGCATTTATATTACTCACTATGAAGCAGCAAGTTGCTATAAAATTAAAATAAGCTCTTTGAATAAATAAAATATATTTAGTTTATAAATATTATTTATTTTTAGTTAATAGATTTATTACGAATTATTATTTAAAAATAAATTCTTTTATTAAAATAATTATTTTGAACTTGTTGACAAAAAAGTGAAAAATTACTTTATTCAAATAAATTTTTAGAATTTCTTATATATTACCTTTTATTATAGTATCTTATCATATTAATGTTAAATTTTTATTTATGATAAAAAACTATGGTTCATATTTATTTTCAAATTTTCTTTAATAAAATTGTTGATTTGCTAAAAACTTCTATTGGTATTTTTATTTCATCGTTAAAAAATTAGATAATCCTTAAAATACTACCTTTCTTTGAGGTATTATCCATTTTTAGATATTATCCAATTTTCTTTTTATAATTAATTATACTGAAAAAAAAATTATTTTAATTTAGTTTTCAATCTAAATAACAAATGTTCCTTATTGCAGCAAGCTGTAAATAAAATCAATTAAAAAATTATCAATCTAAATCTTTTATTTTGCTGCAATATATTTTCTTTACTTATATTTACATTTCATAAATCAAATATTCTTTAAAAAATTATAAATAGATTAATATTGATTAGACATAATAGTTAGTCATGATAAAATTAAATTTTTATAACTTATTAATTTAATTTATCTTACTTACATAATTCAATTTCGTAATATCTACATTTCAAAAAAATTTTGTTTATATGTTGTAGAATATAAAAATAAATTAATTTTATGAAAATAATTACAAGCTATTAATTACAAAAATGGTTAATTGAATACTACTTAGCATACCTATTAATACACATCTTAATATCTTGATGTTAATTTTTTACTTGTTATAATAAATGATGATTTTCATTTTTTTCAAAATGTTTCTTCTATTGATATTTTTATTTCATCTTTAAAAAATTAGATACTATATAGTACTATCTTAGAAGTATTAAAATGCTCTATTTAGATATTATCCTATTTCCTTTTTATAATTATATTGAAAAAGCTTCATTTTCTAATATTGTTTTAATTTAGTTTTACAATCTAAACAACAGATTTTTCTTATTGAACCTTTTAATAAAATTAAATAAAAAATATTATACCTAAATTTTTTGTTTTGTGGCTATATATTTTCTCAACTTATATTTACATTTAATATGTCAAATATCCTTTAAAAAATATATAAACAGATTAATTTTGATTAAACATAATAGTAAGTCATGATTAAATTGCATTTTTAGTATTTATGATTGACTAATTTATTGATTTTAATTTAATATTTACTGAGGTATTTTCTTTGAGTCAAAAAGTATAAAATTCAAGCAATAAATAAATAAATTGATTAATTAAATTTATCTTACTTACATCATATAATTTCATTTGTAATATCTACACTTCAAAAATTTTTTTTTGTCGCTGAATATAAAAATAAATTAATTTTATGAAAATAAATACATACTATTATTTACAAAAATGGTTAATTCAATACGAATTACTATTAACTAAAATGATTTGTAATTTTATTATTAGATAATAAGATGTAAAATATCAATACTTTATATTTTAACAAAATCAATAATCTTCTAAATTAGTTCGAATTACTTTTTTTAAAATTCATGTAATAATAAACAAACTGATTAATTATTTTTATCTTACTTACATCATTTATATGTACATTTCAAAAAATTTTTTTGTTGCTAAATATAAAAGTAAATTAATTTTATGAAAATAATTTGATGCTATTATTTACAAAAATTGTTAATTAAATACAACATACTATTAACTAAAATGATTTATAATTTTATTATTAGAAAATAAGATGTAAAAATATCTATAATTTATATTTTAAGAAAATCAATCTTCTTAATTATAATAATAAACAAACTAATTAAGTTTATTTATCTTACTAATATCATTTAATTTCATTCGTAATATGTAAATTTCTAAAAAATTTTTTGTTGCTGAATATAAAAATAAATTAATTTTATTTAAATAAATACTTGTTATTATTTACAAAAATTGTTAATTGAATACAACTTAGTATTAACTAAAATGATTTATACTTTTATTATTAGAAAATAAGATGTAAAAATTTCTATTCTTTATATTTTAGTAAAATCAATCTTCTTAATTACTTCTAATTAATTTTTTTCTACCACAAATTAATAAAGAGTTCATCTGAAAATTCATGTGCCACTGTAAAAAAATATGCTAATAAGACATTTCAAAGATAAATAATTTTAGTTATTTATAGAGTTAAACCTTTCCTATTAAAATATAATACTAATATAGCTAAACATCTAATTAAAATCTTGTGATACGGCAACCTCTAAATATTAATTAGGCTAGGATTTTAAATAAAAAATATTCTTTTTAAATAATTTTAATTCAAAAATAGTTTGTTATAGCATACTTTCTTTAGTTTACGTGAAATGAAATATTACAATTTGTGAAAATATATCTCAAATAAATAAGCAGGGAATTAGATACTTAATTAATCAAAATAAATCGACTATTTTAAGAAGTGGTTGACACTCAAATAAGTATATATAATTAATAAATTAAATAAAAAATAATAGCTAGTTAAATTACTAAACCTTAAAAAATATTAAATGAATAAAAAATTATTTGCTTTTATAGTAGTTTTATGCTTCATAGAAGTGGTTTTTTCTAATCCATGTCCTTATTGTACATATAGCTAGAATGGTTTTGACACTTAGGGCCCATGTACCAAATGCCCTGATGGATCATGTACACGTTATACTTCAACCGCTTCAAATACTTCATCAATATGTAACTGTAAACCATGTCCTAAAGGATCATATAGCGCTTCAGGTTTTGATATAGACGGATAAGGAAGTCATTGTGTACCTTGTGCTGTAGGTAAAACAACTTCTAGTACTGCAACTATAGGAACAGATTAATCTGTTTGTACTGTTACTCTTGGTGCATGTCCTAAAGGTACCTATTCTTTTACAGGATATGATACAGATGGATCTGGAACAGGATGCACGTCTTGTCCTCCAGGTAAATCAACTCCTAATACTAAAACTGCAGGAGATTTAACTTTTTGTACTCTTAAGGCTTGTAATAAAGGTAAATATTCTGACTCAGGATTTGATACAAACGGATCTGGAGCTGGATGTACTGATTGTACTGCAGGTACATCAACTCCTAATACTTAAACTATAGGAACAGATAAAACTGTTTGCATTCTTAAGTCCTGTCCTGCTGGCTCATATAGTGTATCATCATTTGATACAGATGGTAATGGAACAGGTTGTAATAAATGTGCTGTTAATACTTTCTCTGCTTAAGGTTCTACTTCTTGCACTTCTTGTACTAATAATCGTACCTCTCCAGCTGGGTCTACTGCTGTAACTGCTTGTGTATGCCCATAAGGAACATCTGGTCCTACAGATGGTGTCAGTTCATGTTCCACTACTAGTGGCTCAATAAACACTCTTTTTATATCACTCATTTTTATTTTAATATCTTTATTTTGAATCTAAAATATATAAACTTTATTTTCATATTTTCTGTATGATTCGTGTTTATAACTGTGGTGTTACTCATTTTAATTTTAAAATTTATTTTCAAAAGAATATATTTTAAAAGCCATTTTGAAAGCTAATTTTAATTAATTTTTAATTGCTAATAAGCAAGCTTAGAAGATTTATTCTCAAATTTTTTCTAAACTAAAAGTTGTTAAATCAATTGATAATTCATCAAAAAATTAAATATTTAGTTAAGCATATTTTATCTTTTAATTAATTTTGCTAGGTTAAAAACCTAATTTTTATAGAAATAATCAGATTGAATAATTGGATGGAGAAAAAAAATTATTGAAATTGTAAAAGTTAAAAAGTAAATTTTTTAATAATTTCAATATTACTATTTCATTCTCTAATATTCTTTATAATGTTAATTATTATCTTTTAACTAATGGAGGGGTATGATTTTTATATAATTATAAAAATTTTCAATTAATTTTCTTTGTTTAAAATAAAATAAATAAAATTATTTTTAGTTTATAAATATTTTTGTTAATTGATTTATTATTAAAAAATTATTTAGATAAACAAATTCTTTTATTAAATAATTATTTTGAATTCTTTAGTAAAAAATTGAACGCCTACTTTTTTCAAATAAATTTTTTAGAATTTCTTACATTAATTACCTATTAATACAGCAGGTATTAAAATCCTATTTTGATAATTCCCAATTTCCTTTTTTTTAACTTTTTTGAAAAAGCTAAGTTTTCTAATCTTATTTTAATTTAGTTTTACAATCTACAACAGGTTTTCCTTATTGAAAAAACTATAAATAAAATTAATTCAAAAATACTCGACCTAAGTTTTTTTATTTTGTGCTAATATATATTTTTCAACTTATATTTACAATTAATTTATCAAATAAACTTAAAAAAAATTATAAATAGATTAACATTAATTAAAAATAATAGTTAATAATTATAAAATTACATTTTTAGTATTTATGATGGCCTAATTTATTGATTTTAATTTAATATTAGCATAAGTATTTTCTATGAGATAAAAAGAGTAAAATTCAAGCAATAAATAAATAAATAAATAATTTATCTTACTTACATCATTTAATATTCATAATATCTAAATTTCAAATTTTTTTTTGCTATCTGAATATAAAAATAAATTAATTTTATGAACATAATTACATGCTATTATTTACAAAAATGGTAATTTGAATTCTATTTATCATTAACTAAAATGATTTATAATTTTTTTATTAGATAATAAGATGAAAAATAACATACTTTATTTATATTTAACAAAATAAATCCTCTTAATTAGTTCAAATTACTTTTTTTAAAATTCAAACATAAAATTAACAAACTAATTAATTAAATTTATCTTAACTATATAATTTAATTAAACATAATATCTACATTTCAAAAATTTTTTTTATTGTTGCTGAATATAAAAATAAATTAATTTTATGAAAATAATTACATGCTATTATTTACGAATATGGTTAATTGAATATTACTTACTATTAACTTAAATTATTTACAATTTTATTATTAGAAAATATGATGTAAAAATATGAATACTCAGGGTGAAAAAAGTGTAGTTATGGTGTCAATTTTGTCAAAAAAGTATTTTGGATTTCTAACCTATTGACCTTAGAATGTTCCAATTTCAAATTCTCTCCCACTTGATTTGAAATATTACAATTTTTGAAAATATATCTAAAATAAATAAAAAAAGAGGGAATTATATTTTTAACAAATAAAAATAAATCTACTACTTCAAGAAGTGGTTACAACTCAAATAATTAATAAATTAAATTACAAATAATAACTAATTAAATTACTAAACCTAAAAATTAGTAAATGAATAATACACTATTTGCTTTTATATCAATGTTATGCTTCTTAGAAGTTGTTATCTCTGCTCCTCCTCCTCCCTGTCCTTAAGGTACCTATTCCCCTGATGGAATGAATGAAATGAGAATTAGATGCACCTTTTGTCTTCCAGGTACAACTACTCCTAGTGCTTAAACAATAGGAACAGATTAATCTGTTTGCACTCTTAAAGCATGTACTAAAGGTAACTATTCTGCCTCAGGATTTGATACAGACGGATCTGGAGGTGGGTGTACTGCTTGTAATAAAGGAACATCAACTCCTAATACATAAACAATAGGAACAGATTAATCTGCTTGTACTTTTACTCTTAAAGCATGTGCTAAAGGTAACTATTCTGCCTCAGGATTTGATACAGACGGATCTGGAGCTGGATGTACTGCTTGTACTGCAGGTACATCAACTCCTAACACTTAAACTATAGGAATAGGTTCATCTGTTTGTACTGTTACTCTTAAGGCCTGTCCTGCTGGCTCATATAGCGTATCATCATTTGATACAGATGGTAATGGATCTGGTTGTAATAAATGTGCTGTTAATACTTACTCTGCTTAAGGTGCTACTTCTTGCTCTTCTTGCACTAATAATCGTACCTCTCCAGCTGAGTCTACTGCTGTAACTGCTTGTTTATGTACATAAGGAACATCTGGCCCTACAGATGGCGTCAGTTCATGTTCCGCTACTACTAGTGGCTCAATAAATACTCTTTTAATATCACTCATTTTTATTTTAATATCTTTATTCTGAATCTAAAATATATAAACTTTATTTTCATATTTTCTGAATAAATTATGAAAACTAATTTTAATTAATTTTTAATTGCTGATAAGTAAGCTTAGAGGATTTATTCTCAAACTGTTTAAACAAAAAATTACTAAATCAAATAATAATTCATCAAAAAATTAAATATTTAGTTAAACATATCTTTTAATTGATTTTGCTAGGTTCAAAACCTATTTCAATTGAATTTTTTTTATAATTATAAAAAATTTTTAATTCAACTAAAACTTTTTTATTAATAACTAAATAATACTCCTCAAATAGTAATCTTGTATAGAGATATATATGTATTAGAAATTTTTTCAAAATTATTTTTATTTGTTCATAAATATGTTTTAATGAGGTAAACTTACGAATCAAAAAGGAAAGGAATATCTAACTATTATTTCTAAAATATTTGGTTGAATGAAATAAATGTTTTTGATTTGAGAATTTTTTTGTGGAGCATTTTTGGCCAATAGGTTCGAAATCAGACCTATCGTGCCAAATTTTTTCGCCTTCCAAGCATTTTACTTGGAGGGAAATTCTTCACAACTTTTTAAAAAATTTTTTAACAATCTATATATATTTTGATAAATTTTTAATTGTGCAAGAATTGATTTTGAAAGTAGTCCGTCCCCTGTTTCATATTTTAATTTTTGCAATTTTTGATGTAGGTGATAATTAATTATCTCTTTTTAATTTTTTCATTTCAGATCTAAAGTGTGTATTTTTCATCTAAACTATTTGAATTAATCCTATTAATTTGAGAATTTTGCTGAAATCTTGTATTTATTTATTAGTCTGTTATTGAGACGTTTCATCTATTTTACTTAGGGATTGAATGATTTCCTTATTATTTATTACATCTATTCTTTCATTTATTTTTACTATTTGATTCTATTCTAAAATTACTTATTGATATTTTGTGTCTTGATTAATTATGATTTATAATTTTTACTTTTTAAATATTTTTTAGTTAAGAATTTTTTTCTGATAACTATTTATTAATTTACAAAAAATATAAAAAATTTATTAAAAACTATTTGGAATATAAATTTATTGAAGAGTAATTCAAAGCAAAGCAATATTTAAATATTATTTTATAATTATTTAAAGGTAATTGATTGATTAATTAAGAAATAAATTTATTTTACTTTATTTAACAAATAAAATATAAAAATAGAACAATCAATAATTAATTTTGTAAAAATGTAAGAAATAGTTTTAATTATTTTTCTTAATATAAATTGTTTTCATTAAAATTCATGATTGACTGGATGATTTTTTGTTTAGACATAGGTGCCTTTTTATGATTTAAGAAGAGAGGCATAATTATTCCAAGATCCATGACGACCTTCGTTATAATTACGCAATAAAGCAACATTAATTTTATATTCATCACCTGCTCCGACATTGTCTATACTAACCATATGAGTAGTATGTCTATGTAATTTTTATAGCAGTGCTATTTTTTCTTCGTTTTACTGCAATTTTGGTTTATCTACAATAGATTACGGAAATTCAATAGGCACCTATTAAATTATTTTTTAATGAAATTAATTTTTTTAAATTTAAATTTACATAAGAAATATTTGGCTTCTGGGTAATCATAGAAAGAGGTAGAGTTCTGTTTAAAGTAAAATGAATGCTTTTTAAATTTTATCTCTCTTTTTAAGTAACGGTTGGGTCAATTAATTTAGGGTTAGAGAATTTTTCAATAGACTTATTTATAAGCTTAGCAACCCAAGCGTTCATTCTTATTCTTCTATCCTCCTGTATAACTCTAATAATTTAAATTAAAAAATTTATTTATTTTGCTACATTTAAAAATAGTTATTGCTTACTATTATAAATCACTAAAGTTGTATCTTTCATAATAATCAGTAGGGACATCCTTAAATAAAAGTCTTATTAAATCTCTGTTGTAAGAAATTTCTTCTGGTTCTTTTAATGACATTTGCTCTATCATTATATTTGCTGCATTTCCTTTTTCTATTATCAATAAATCTAATAGTTCCTATTTATTAATTTCTTTAGCCAAACCCTCGATTTCTTGATCAGAAAGTATATGCTAAGCACCTCTGCCTCCTACTAAATGAGCATAAGAATCACAATGATGTTTACATTTATCGCACAGTTAATTGTAAATTGATGATATATTCTATTAATAAATTAGTATTAAAATTAGGATATATTTTAAATATTATTTGCTTACTTCTTCATTCAAAAGCCTTATAGGAGGGATATTAACTTTTGTCTCTTGTTTTGTTCCTATTCAAACAAAAAAGGAAATTAACATTTTTAAAATTGCATTTTTTGTTAGTTACCTTTTTTAGATGTAGACATTGAAAGCTAAAGTCTCTTTATTTGTGCATCATTTTTAGTAGAAATACCTAATTTCTTTTTCTCTTCAATAATAATTTCTTTTCTTCGCAATTCTAAAACTTCCTTGCCTATTCTACTGCAAGGAGTGCATAGACATTTATCTACTGAATGATGATTTAGAATAGGACCATATAACGCAAATATATCAAGTCTTTCATTCACTACAACATGTTCTAAATTAGGAGGAAATATAAATTTGAATATAGTATCAATATTAATTTTCATTGTGTCAAAGTGAAACTCTGGAATTTTTTGAGGTATAGGAAATTTAAAGACATCTCTTTCTTTATTCGCATCCGAAGTTGTATCACTACCATGCAACTCATTCTTTAAAATAGATTTTCCATATTTAGCTCTCAAACAATTTGGATCTTCTTTCTTTTATTTTAGTTGAATATTTTAATAGCAAATTTCAAATTAAGCATAATTCAAAAGGAATTCATTCATTTTGTTTTAGCTAAATATTTGCAAATTTTACTTTTGCCTGCTCTGGATCAGATTTCCCAATCATTTTTTTCCATTTTTCAATTGGATTTTCTGTTTCATGGCACAATAAAAGAACTACGCATTCACCAGAAAGCATATAGTCAATAATGTCATCATAATAAGGTTGGCCTTCTTGCTTGTAAAAAACATTCTGAACTTCCTATCTAATAAGTTCTCTTTAAATCATATTCTTAATAACAAACCCTTATTCCTCAATTTTATCGATGATCTCTTAAACCTACAAATATAAATTTATCAATATTAACCATTTAATGATGCAAGATGCTTTTGAATTTCTGCTAAAGATATTATTATTACACTCTTTATGTACAAAGCTGTATCTGGCTTAATTATTGCTATAGTATATGCTAAATTTTCTTGCTTTGGATTAAAGAACTCGTTTTTAGGCAGTGACATTTTTAATATTTCCTTTAAAAATTGTTGAAATTTTGATAGAATCTTAATATAAATCAATAATTTATAACTTTCTTTGAAAAATTAAGTAAACAAACAACTAAATAAATTAATGAATGAATTTAAGATTGTATGAATGTATAATAATTTAATTTTTAACAATATTTAATAAATGTTAACCATTATATATAAATAGATAACTCCAAAAAGGAATTTAATAATTCATAATATTTAGAAATTAAATTACTGGTAAAGTATTTAATCTATTTTATATTTATAAGGTAAAAATAAATTTCTTCTTAATAAGATCAATTCATTATATGTTTATTGAACAAATTTTTATTTATTAAATTTATAATAATTATTTTAAATTGCATTTACTTCATTGTAAAATTGACGTTAATATAATTAAATTAATATCTTCTTTTTAATTTGCCTATATTTTTTAAATAATAAAATGTTAATTTATAAATAATTTTAAGTAATTAATTTTTTATTATTATTTAATCAATTTTTTTATTTTTTTTTAGATAAATATTCATATATTTTGAATGATTTGAAAGTTAAAAAATATATACATTTTATAATGATTATTTTAAGAATTTATCAGTCTTCAAATAAGTAAGTACTATAGGATACATAATTTAATTTAATTTTATAAAAAGATGAAATAATAATTTTTAAAAATTTATTTCCATAATACTCAAAAATTTAAGTCCATACAAATTTAAGTCATGAGTATTTTTAAGAATGTTTTTATTTAATAAATTTAACTTATTCTATTTACTGATTTATTAATTTAAAAAATATAATTTATTACTGTGTTCCTTCCACTTGAAATATACCCACTCCATATCCTAAAATATTTAAAAATCAAGGTTTTATACTCCACTGTGTTCATAATAAATTAAAGAAAATTCTAGGGAGGAACATTATTAAGTTATAGGGTATATTAAGCAATAATAAACTTTAATAAATTAATGTATTTTATTTCTTAGAGTGAGAGATATTAGAATATACTTTAAATAAATTCAAGGAGAGTTTTTTTGTTCAATACAATTTTAGAATATGATTAAAAGTAAGGCATAATATTTAATCTTTAATTATTAATTATCTAAGATATATATGTGCTTAAGTGAAATATTTATAGTTTTTTGTTGAGATGTTAATATACAAATAAATAAATAATTAATTAGTTATAGCAAAGATAATAAGGAGATAATAAAAAGTAAATAGAAGAAATGAAAGCAAATGACTACGAGCAAAAGCTTTATCAACTAGCTATGAATTCAAACAGCTCTAAAAACTTTAATTAAATAATGAAAGAGTACCAAGAACTTTAGAAGTAAGAACAATTAAAGAATAAACCAGAGAGGATATCAAATAAAATTTAGGATCTTATAATGAAAATTTGTTAATAGTCAAATAGTAGTTAACAAACAAATTAAATAATGCTATTAGTAAAAAATCTTGGAAATTTGTTGGAAGATGTGGATACCCTCAAAGAGTAAATTAAAGATTAAGACTCAATAACTCTCTACTAAAAATACAGAGACCTCATTATGAATTTAAATGAAGATGAAAAAATGTGCGAAAAGATTTCATAAGAATCATTATAAGTAATAAGCGATGAAAAATTGCTTTAAATTAAAAAAAGACTTTATTTACTATTTGAAAAAGCGAAATAGCTCCATACAGCCACTATGAAGAAAACCCAAAAGTACTTGCTCTGGATGGATAAGAATGCTTCAAATAATAAAGAGATTTTGACTCTAATTTAATAATAATATAAAGGGTTTGTTTTAGTTCAATACTATGAAGATAATTAAGACTTTAGAAACGATGTTTTAATATATAAAGAAAATCCTTGTGTCATCATAATGAGCGCTGTAGCAGCTGGTTCTAATGTTTAATATGGAGATGGAGATCACTTTAACTTTTTAAAGTAGAATAAACACTAATTAAGAATTTAAGGATGCATTCTATACTGCGGTCAATAGGGAGCATTGAACAACTAGCATTTACTAATGGACCCTAGCAAACTACTTAAAAAGATTACTACTGAAGAAGCTAAACTTTAGTAATATGTTGAAGAAATGCTTATCCCTTCTGAATATAAAAGAGTTATTTAACTAGAACATATTGATTTTTTTATTCCTAATATAAAATAAGAAGCGCTTTAAATTCAATTCTAAAATTATACTTTCTAAAGCCTTTAAGCTATAAATCCAAATAAAAAAAGTCTTAGGAATGCTTTTAAAAAGGCAAAAGAATTAATCATCCTCAAGAAAATTAGCTTAAAATAGGATGTGATTGATGGCATAGAGAACATACCAGAGTTACTTGAAAATGCTTTTTAAAATCAATCTGATTAAATTGTTGTTGACAGGATAATTTAAATTTACTCTGAGCAAAGTAATAAGTATCCTACTTACTAATTCTTAAATTCTACTTTAAATATTCTTAACGAAGAGCTAACTTTTACTTTGCTTTAATTTTATTATATTTTTATTATATCTCTTCATCTTTACAATGACATAAACGATACAATAATCCAGCCAAACGGAAGTGTTTTAACTTTATTCAGAGGATCCTCTATAGATAAGGATCATTTTAGTGACATCATCTAAAAATCTAAAACCATTTTATTACCAAGCTTTAGCTCCTTTTCCACCCTCAAACATAAAGCAGAATAATTTATACTTGCAAATTGCTTTGAAGACACTGTACCTGTTCTCTTTGAGTATAAATACAAAACTGGAAGTGATTATTTTAAAAATAGACCTAAAAATATAAGACGTGTCTCTAAATTCCCATGTGAAGATGAGTACATAATTTATCCATTCACACAGTTTATTATTAAGGAAGTTAAATAGCCAACTTAATAAACTCCTTACTATACTATAGTGATTTGATTTTACCATCCTATTCACTGCTTTATCATTTTAAATTAATTAATGCCATTATTATCAAATATATAATAAGTTTTAAATACTTTTTAGAGAATAAATAATTATTAATTTCTAACAATTTTAAATCAAAAAATTAAAAATATTTCATAGAAAAAATATTGTTTATTTATATTAAAATTCAATAATTAAAGAAACAAAAAAAATATTATGTATTACTTATTTCAATTCATATAGGTTAATGTAGTTTTTAGGTAGGTAAAGCATGTTGCAAGTTATCCTTCCTTGAACATAATATTTAACCTTATGGTTTCAAATCAAGTGAGTTTTCAAAAGGAGATAATAATATTTTTACTACATTTTTTTATGAAGCTGGTATAGATAGATAAGTGTATTACTTAAACTTTATTCTTAAATATTGAACCTATTATTATTGATTAAGTAAGAAATATCTGCAGATAATAACATCATCCTAATTAGATGCTCACTGATTTTTTTAATTGTTTCTGTAAACTATTTGATTTTATTCATTTAATTGATTAATTTGTTTTGATATATTTTAATTTAATTTGTTTTTTGTATATGAGTATTAATCCACTAATATATAACAAGTATATTCATTATCAATAAATACATTTATTTCCAATATTAATAGCTATATAATATTTATAACTAATATACTATATTATCTTCTTGAGAACTCTTTCAGCATCAACTTAGATTTTTGAATTATAGTTACATAATTATATTGAAAGATTCATAAAAGTAATCAAAGGCTTCTTGTATTTAAAGAGCAATCACAGTATCTTTCTTTATAAAATATAAAAATAATTAATAAAATTTAGAAAGAAAATTTTTCTCATTAATAAATATTAAAAAAATATGTAAATATATTTTATTCTTTTTACAAAGTAATAATTTTGTAAAATGTAATTTTTTTTAATTTTTAGTAAGCATCTATTAATTTATAAACCTATATTATTTCATTTGAATTTAATTTTAATAAGGATATTAAAAATACCTTAAATTTATTTTTTTTGGTTTAAATATAATAAATGCAAAAACTAATCAATCACTTGTTTTAATCTTCATGTACATTTATCAGCTCATTAATTATATTAAGCAATAATCAACGTTAATATAGAAATATAATTTATTGCTTAGAGTAAGAGATATTAGAATATACTTTAAATAAATACAAGGGGATTTTTTTGTTCAATACAATTTTAGAATAAGATTAAAAGTACGAAAATTATATTTAATCTTTATGAATTAATTAGCTAAGATATATATGTGCTTAAGTGAAATATTTATAGTCGTTTGTTGCGAAGTTAATATACACATAAATAATTAATTAATTAGTAATAGCAAAGATAATTAGGAGATAATAAAAAGTAAATAGAAGAAATGAATGCAAATGACTATGAGCAAAAGCTTTATCAACTAGCTATGAATTCAAACAGCTCTAAAAACTTTAATTAAATAATGAAAGAGTACCAAGAACTTTAGAAGTAAGAACAATTAAAGAATAAACCAGAGAGGATATCAAATAAAATTTAGGCTCTTACAATTAAAATTTGTTAATAGTCAAATAATAGTAAACAAACTATGCAAATAGTGTAATTAGTAGGAGATCTTGGAAATTTGTTGGAAGATGTGGATACCCTCAAAGAGCACATTAAAGATTAAGACTCAATAACTCTCTACTAAAAATACAGAGACCTCATTATGAATTTAAATGAAGATGAAAAAATGTGCGAAAAGATTTCATAAGAATCAATATAAGTAGTAAGCGATGATAAATTGCTTTAAATTAAAAAAAGACTTGACTTACTATTTGAAAAAGCGAAATAACTCCATACAGCCACTATGAAGAAAACCCAAAAGTACTTGCTCTGGATGGATAAGAATGCTTCAAATAATAAAGAGATTTTGACTCTAATTTAATAATAATATAAAGGGTTTGTTTTAGTTCAATACTATGAAGATAATTAAGACTTTAGAAATGATGTTTTAAAATATAAAGAAAATCCTTGTGTCATAATAATGAGCGCTGTAGCAGCTGGTTCTAATGTTTAATATGGAGATGGAGATCACTTTAACTTTTTAAAGTAGAATAAACACTAATTAAGAATTTAAGGTTGCATTCTATACTGTGGTGAATAGGGAAAAAAGAACAACTAGCATTTACTAAAGGACCCTAGCAAATTACTTAAAAGGATTACTACCGATCACACTATGCTTTAGAAATATGTTGAAGAAATGCTTATCCCTTCTGAGTATAAGAGAGTTATTTAACTTGAGCATGTTGACTTTTTTATTCCTAATATAAAATAAGAAGCACTTTAAATTCAATTCTAAAATTATACTTTCTAAAACCTTAAAGATATGAATCCAAATAAAAAAAGTCTTAGGAATGCTTTTAAAAAGGCAAAAGAATTAATCATAAAAAAAAAAATTAGCTTAAAATAGGATGTGATTGATGGCATAGAGAACATACCAGAGTTACTTGAAAATGCTTTTTAAAATCAATCTGATTAAATTGTTGTTGACAGGATAATTTAAATTTACTCTGAGCAAAGTAATAAGTATCCTACTTACTAATTCTTAAATTCTACATTAAATATTCTCAACGAAGAGCTAACAGTTGCTTTGCTTTAATTTTATTATATTTTTATTATTTCTCTCCATCTTTACGATGACTCAAATGAAACTATAATCCAGCCAAACGGAAGTGTTTTAACTTTATTCAGAGGATCTTCTATAGATAAGGATCATTTTAGTGACATCATCTAAAAATCTAAAACCATTTTATTGCCAAGCTTTAGCTCCTTTTCCACCCTCAAACATAAAGCAGAATAATTTATACTTGCAAATTGCTTTGAAGACACTGTACCTGTTCTCTTTGAGTATAAATACAAAACTGGAAATGATCATTTTAGAAATAGACCTAAAAATATAAGACGTGTCTCTAAATTCCCATGTGAAGATGAGTATATAATTTATCCATTCACATAGTTTGTTATTAAGGAAGTTAAATAGCCTACTCCCTAAATTCCTTACTATACTATAGTGATTTGATTTTACCATCCTATTCACTGCTTTATTATTTTAGATTAATTAATTTCATTATTATCAAATATATAATAAGTTTTTTATATACTTTTTAAGAAAATAAATAATTAATAATTTCTAATAATTTTATATCAAAACAATAAAAAATATTTTAAAGAAAAAAGATTACTAATTAATATTAAAATTCAATAATTAAAAAATCAAACAAAATATTATAGAATACTTATATCAATTTACATTGGTTAATATAGTGTTTAGGTAAGTGACGCTTATTGGTAGTTATTGTGCCTTAAATATAATATTTAACCTTATGGTTTCAAATCAAGTGAGTTTTCAAAAGGAGATAATGATATTTTTTACTACCTTTTTTTATAGAGCTAGTGGAGATAAGCGCATTCCTAAATATATTTTCTTAAATCTTGAACTTACTATTATTGATCAAGTAAAAAGTACCTGCAGATATCAACATTATCCTAATATGCTGCTCATTGATTTTTTTAATTTTTTTATGTAAACTATTTAATATTTTACAAATAATTATTACTCTGATTAATTTGTTTAAATACATTTTAATTTAATTTGCTTTTTGTCTATGAATATTCATACACTAATATATAACAAGTATATTCTTTATCAATAAATACATTTATTTCCAATATTAATAACTATATAATCTATATAACTAATATAGATATATCACCTTCTTGAGAACTCTTTCAACATCAACTCTGATTTTTGCATTATAGCTACTGATTTAAAAAATACCTTCATTAAATTATTAAAATTAATTATTGGTTCCATAGTAGGGTCCAAAGAGGAGGTGCCCTTAACTAATGAGGAATTAGAGTATATATTTATTTAATAATTTTAGTTTTTTATGTTTAAAAATAAATGAAAAATTGAAATAAACTAATTTTAATAATTTTTAAATGAAAAACTAAATTGAATTTAACATTGAAATTTTATATCCTATTAAAAAAATTGCAAAAGGGTAAAGAGTAAAATGATTAATTATTCAAGAAAATGAAAAATAAATAGAATTTAAATAGAAAATGAAAAACATTCAAACTTTAACATTTATTATTAATATTTTGAATTTAACAAATACTATGATTGTTAAAATATATAGATAAGCAACATTTATTTTAATTTAAATAAATTAAATGATATTATTTTGATTAAACAATAAATACTTACAAAATTTAAAAAAAATAAAAAATATTTTATTATCCAAAATATTTTTGCTAAATTAAAGCAAAGTTTGTTAAATTTTCAAAAATGAAATATGGATGACAATTCAAAGTTTATTAATTCAGTCAAAAAAATTAATTAATTAAATAATTAACTATGTTATCAGCTTATAACTTCTACATTTAATTATACACAAAAAATAAAGAGACAAATAAAAAAATATTGAAATAGTGTCTTAAGTATAATAAATCAACTATTTAGATAATATTGTCTTATTTATCAGCTTTTGATTGATTGATCGTTTGTTTGTATCCAGTTAATTATATTTTTTTTATGTACTAAATTTTTACATTCTATTTTATTGTATTATATTAAATAGCTTAAAAATATTGAAGAATCACAAAAAAAACCAATAAAATGAATAAATTTACTTTAAAATTCTACTAAAAAGACCTAGAAGCTCTTTATTAAGAAGAATAAATAAATCATTTTCTAAAAGAAGCTCTATTTTTGATCAAAGGTTATATTTTGATAGTGCTATTTCCAAGTTTAATTATATCTGCTATTTAAAAAATCTATGCTGATTTATTTATTTGCATTTTAGCTATTGTATGTTGCTTTTTGTACATATTTATCCTTTCTCGCTACTCTTAATATTATAATTTCTGGATAAGTTCTCTGACTATTGCAAGTTGCATTTGCTTTAGTGGAGAAGTAATTGCGTCAAAATATTTCAATATACCTAAAGATGATTACTATTATTATTATCTAGGGGGTTCTACGATTGCAGTCTAATCTATAATATTACAATTGAATTTCAACTTTGTATATGCTATGATCTCTTTAATAGCTTCTATTCTATTGTAAGTTAACATTTCAATAAAATTTTATTTCATTTAATTATTAAATCCTCGTATTTTTTAAGTATAACCTCATGAAAAATAGTTTTTTATGCAAGTAAAAAAATACTAAGTAGAATTTAAGCTTAAAACACAATTTATTTTAAGATAAATTTATTTTTAAATTTATAATCAAAACTTTGATAATGTTTTTAACTAAAAATAATAAATAGTTATTCGATAACTTTTTGGTCATATTCAATTTATATGAATAAATCTATTTTTTGGTCAATCTAATTTTTTGCTATTTACTTCTTGTATGTGAAACAAAAAATACGCAGATAGGTTTTTCTTTTAAGAAATTATGAAATGGAGTGGGCAAACATTGTTAAGAAAGGCTTGCATTCAAATATCATAACAGTGAAGTATGATTCTAAGAATAATTGCATTAAGCTTGATTTAATTACAGATGAAGCAAAAAAAACACTTAAAATAAATGATCCTGATGATTTTAAGATTTTTTCAAGAAGGACTATCATTTTAAATAATTATCAGGAAAGCAAAAAATCAGAAATTTCAAATGTTAAAATAGAGGACCAAAAAACACCAAGAAACAATATTGGAGACAAATTTGAAAAAAATAATAAAAAAATGACACTTGAAAACAAAATTATCAGTATTGTTAAGTAATATAGTAAAAATAAATAGGAGGAAGAAGATAAAAATAAAATATTAAGGTTTAAGAGAGAGAATTCTTTTCGTCAAAAATAAAAAACTGTAGATTCTAAGACCTACTAGCAATATATTACTTAATAAGATTAAATATAAGATATATTATATGGAGAATACGAAAAAGATGATTTAACTGAGAAAAAAATGATATCTGTAAAAACGACTGTTTATTAAAATTAGACAGATTGGTTTTGCTGTTTGGTGATTAATGAAGAAAGCAGCCAACAAAAACTCGAGATCCTTAAAGAGATCAATAAAAGCTAAGAAATTAATTTCTATCGATTCTGTATTTACTTAGGTAAAATAAATATAATTAATTAATTTTTTCAATTTATTTACGAAAAAAAAATAAAAATTTTTGAAAGAAATTATTTTCATTTTGAATAAGTAAAATTATTTTATATAGATATGAAATAAATTATAAAATATTATAACTATTTTCTAATATAATAATATAAATATGAAGTTAATTTTTATTTTTATTTTTGCAAATTAACAATCTAATAATTTATTAATTATATTATACAATCTTATTTTTAATTTAAATTAATTTTGCTTTATACTTTAAGCACTTATTATTTTTATTAGCTAGTTCTTAAACATAAAATTTTGATTTAAAACAATTAAAGTTTTTATATGATCAAATTTGATGATATTTATTAATTCTTTAGACCAAAAATAATTTTATAAATTTTTTTAAATTTTATTTAATTTTCTTTTATTTTTATTAAAAATAAAAGGTCAAAAACTGCAAAATATTATCTCAAATATACATGGTACTGAAAATATCAAAGCAAATATTTAATAGTGTTACAACATGATGTATAACTTTAAAAGTTATGCTAATATAATTACAAATAAATTAAAATTAAGAACAGAAAACCTTAGCATAAATTAATTTACTCTAGATAGTCTGTAGACTTAAATAAATTCGAGTTTTGCAGATTAGTTACATGAAATAAAAATAAAATTTCAATTTATCAATTGCAACCATAATACATTAATAAATAGTCATAAAAAATATTTATTACAAAGTTTAATGAACATTATTGAATATTCAATTAATCTTTTTTAAAAAAATGATTTAGAGAATCTATAATCAATAAACAAAAAACATTACTGGTAATAAAAATCAATGTTATTTAGTAATTTAATAAAAGATAAATCAATATATATAAATAGTTAAGCAGATTAAAGCTTAATACAAATTTAATCTGAATATAAAATTAACAATTATGATGATGATAAGTTAAAACAATGTTTATTAAATTTTAATTAAAATGAGTTATAAAGTTTTGAAAGCAAATAATCAATTACGAATCAAAAAGAAATTAAAATAGTAGTTGAATTAATTTAAGGTGAAAATGATTTATCAAACATTTTTAAAATATCAATTTAAGATAATAGTAAGGGTGTTGACTTAAATTAAATCCTGAATCTATTTTAGTATGTAGGAGCTAATAATCCATTTAATAGCATTTCATATCAATATCATAAATTTATTGAATGGAAATTAAATTATTTTTTGATAGGAAAATTAGGACCCTTCCACAACTTTTACATATAAAAGATCAACCAACAAGTAACAAAATAGATATTTATAAATTGATATTAGAGATTAACTTTTATTTTATATTTAATTAAAGTCAGGATTTGAGTGCCATTTCTATATTTTTTAAAATATAGAAATATTAAATAATTAAACCTATAAATAAGATTTCAAAAATAAGACATTTTAAATAAATCTAGAAAAATCTAATAAAGAATTCTTTAATATAAAGATTCTAGACAATTTAAATGACAACATTATCAAGCTTCTTCCTAAAAAAATAAATAGAGATAAAAAAATTAGCTCAGTTAGCTAAAGTTCTAAGATTTTATAAAACAGTAATTACATGAAATTTCTAAAGGCTGATTAAGATTTTTTTTAATTTCCATAAGTTTTAGAAGATGAAATTATAGAAACCACAGAAATTTGCTTTAAAAATAAATTAGATGATAAATATATATCTAATTCTTTCAAAAATAAATTTTAAAATAGAAACACATCCTATTTATGATAGTAGACAGACACTGCTATTTTATACATACTGTAATATCCCTTTACCCTGCACAGCAAATTTACTGAATTTTATTTTTATTTTCAAAAATTAGTTTTTATGACCTTTATATTTTAATTATTTTAAAAAGTTTTAAATTAAATAAATATAGTATATAAAAAATAATGAATTATTATTTTTCTATAAATTATTTAATGATATATTGTATTAAATTTATATTAAAGAGAAAACTAACTCTAATATAAAATTATTTTATTAAAGATTTGATTTTAGATAAAAATTCTACAAACAAACATTAAAAAACAATATTTTAATAAATATGATAAACAAATTTTATCGTCTATCTTTTATTGTTAAATTACTAGTAATTTTATTTAATTAGAAATTAAACAGTTTAATACTCTTAAACTAAATTGCAGTTAATATTAATTAATTATTTTGAATAGAAAATAAATAAATTAGCTAGGAAATAATATGAATAAATTCACTTTATAGTTTTATTAAAGCGATTTGGAAGCCTAATTTTAATAAGAAATTAGATAGTATTATCTAAAAGAAGCTCTTTTTTTAATCAAAAGATATGGATTAATTGTAATAATTCCAAGTTTTCTTATTTCTCTTATTTAAAAAGATTATGTTGATGCATTCATTTGTGCTATTTCCTTTTTTTTTTGCCTAATATCTATTTTTATAATAAAGCAATTCTCAAAGCTATATAATTTCTGGATTAGCTGTATAAATATTGCTTCATGCTTGTTTTTGGTGCTGAGATTTATCTCACAAATTACTTTAATATTCAAAAAGATGCTTATCATCTTTATAATGTTGGAGCTGCCACAGTTGCCGCCCAATCGATAGTGATGCATTTAAATTTTAATTTTACATATGCTACTATCTCTTTGACCATCTCGATTGTATTGTAAATTTTATTTTTAATCTTGTTTTTTATGTTTATTTAAAACATTTTAGGGAAAACACTTGATGAATTGTATTTAAAAAAATATATTTCAAAATTATTTAAAATTTTAAATAGAACTAAAATTAAAAGCACTAAATAATATATTTTACTCAATAGTTTTTTGGTCAGATTACATTGATATGAACAGGCATATATTTTGGAGTGTACAAATTTTTGGGGCTTATTTCTCGTATGTCAATTAAAAGGTACGAAACGAGGTTTTTCTTTTGAGAATTAATGAAATAGAGTGGGCAAATATTGTTAAGAAAGGTTTGCACTCAAAAATTATCACTGTGAAGTATGAAAAAAAGAACAACTGCATAAATCTTGATTTAGTTACTGACTAAGCAAAAAAATCATTTGGCATAAATGATTAAAACAACTTTAAGAAATTTTCAAAGAAACACACGCTTTGAGAGAAATTCAAAATAAAGCGAATTAAATCGAAAAAAAGAATAATCATTATATAAATTTAATATAAATAAAAACAAAAAAATTACTCTTGAAAATAAAGTAATTAGTATTATTTAACAATACATATAAAAAAAAAGGAAAAGGACAAAGAAAAGAAAAAAACTTTGTAAAAATTTCCACCTTAGAATAAGATTGAAATGAAATAAAAAAGCAACAGCTCATAAAGTTAATAATAATAGTAATTTAATGACTTAGATTTATAATAAAATATTTTATATGGAGAGTATTTATAAGACAAATATTCTGAGAAAAAAAATATATTAATTAAAATTACAATTTATTAAAATCAGGCTGAATTATTTTGCTGTTTAGTTTTAAATGAAAAAACTAATAGATAAAATCTTGAGATATTAAAAGAAATAACTAAAACTCAAGAGGCTAACTTTTTTAGATTTTGCATTTATTTAGGTAAATTATTTAATTAATTTTAATTCTTTTAATTTTCCAATTTGCTTTTTGTTTAATTCAATAAAAAACCCCTTTTATGTAAGCTTTGATTTGTGAAATTGCATAAATTAAATATTATTTATAGAATAATTGTTTGATTTATGAAATTGCATAAATTAATAAATATTATTTATTTATCAAATAAAATTGTTTGATTTTCTAACCTGATTAATTGATTAATAATATGTATTAATATTAACTTATCAATAAATAATAATGATTTAATAAATAATTATTTTTTACTATATTAATTCATTTTTAATAAATGAATGGAAGGTTAAAAGTTGCAGGATATAAGTTTGAATGCTTAAAATATTGATGTCATAAATTCGAATATCTATTAGTGTTACAACATGATGCAACATTTAAAGAATTTTTATAATATTTATAAAAATGAATTAAATTTTAAGGCAGAGACTTCTTCTCTTTAAAAAATTATCTCTTGAGTTTCTTAAAATATAATTAATTAATGTTTTTTTTAACCAAATGAATGAAATCAAAATAAGTTTTTAACTTATTAATTGTAATACATCTACAGAAATAAATACATAAAGCAAATATCTAAATTAAATTTTAATGAATGCTATAGAAAATTCAATAAATCTTTTTTAGAAAACTAGCTTGAATACATATTATATGAAAAAATAATTCAATATAATTTACTTTAAAGAATTACACAAATTAAAATTGAAGATATTTTTGCAACTAATATTTTTCTCATTAATTTTATAAATAACAAAAAAACTCATTTTTATATGATTTTTCTCTAAAAAAAGAATTATTTTTTTTTAATTATATAATTTGGTATTTAACAAATTAATTTGAATAAATAAGAAATTATAGTATATTATCTTAAATTTTAATAAATTCTAATAAAAATTTCATTAAAAAAATTACTTTTAATTATTTAGTTTAGTAGATAAGATGAAATATTAAATTAAGCAGGTTTATCATAAATAATCTCAAAAGAAAATAAATACTTCATAATAAAATAGGGCTGATTTTATTTTTTATAAGTCTTATTTTGATATATAATTAAATTTACTTAATGATTTTTACTATTTGGTTTTAATTAAATGAATACCAATCATTATAAAGATTTTTCAACTTATCTCTAATTAATAATAATTGCTTATAATCATCTATATTTGTATTCATTATATTTTGATTAGATATTTATTTTCCAGCAAGAAATTCTATAGTATTTATTATAAAACAAAATACATCAATAAATAAATAAATATTTTTTATAAGTTGATGAGTTCTTAGGAGCTAATGCTGATTGATGAATTCCTCAACTTTAAAGATTTTTCGAATTCTAAAAAAAGCTCTAAGAACCAAGAACTAGGTCCTTGGGGTACTCCTCAAGATGATTAAGACATATTCTGTTACAGAAAAAGATTAGAAGAAACAAGCGCTCTGACGAATAAAGCCACAAAAAAACATTTAAAATAAGATTTACAGTCTGCCAATTGCAATCATGAGAATATTGACACCTCTCTTGATAAAAATTCAATAAATTTATCATTTTAATAGGAGAATTTTGCACGATATGCAAATTCACAAATGCTTCCTAAAAATAAGAAAGTTGTTTCAGAGCTTACATATCAATTGTCTTAGACATCATAAAGATCTGATTTAAATCAAAATTAGGAGAACAAGCTTTATTAATCAGCTGAAATCGATACATCTTACTTTTTAAGGACTGGTTTGGAAGGAATTAAATAATAAAAGAAACATTAATCAGTTGGGAGAACTTCAATTTAAGTAAACTATCAAAACCAGCCAAGTCAGAATTTTGAAAGTAAAACTCAAAAATATGAAATCGATCTTGATAGAATAAAAAAATTGCTCAAAGATTAAAATGAATCTTAGAAATTAATACTTCTTTAGGGTAGTACGAAGGATATAAAAGCTAATTAGTTTGAGAATTTCTACTCTACATTAGCTTTAATGCCAGAAGGCACTACAGAAAATACGCAGAATAGTATGATTCATTCTAATAACTAGACCTAATAAATTTTAAGTAGGCCTAAGAAGAATATGCAAGAATAAAGAAGAGCAAATAGTAATGATTTGAGAAATAACATAATTAATACTAACGAAGATGATTTAGATAACAGCATAAACTAAAGGAATTTGTTATTAATTGAGAATTAAAAGCTTAATCAACAGAAAATGCATTAGTATAACATCAATCTAGCTAAGGAAAAAAGAATGAAAAGATAAAATCCTCAAAGCAATGGATTAATTGAGTCACGTTCTAATTATGCAGATCCTAAATAAAGAATAAATATTATCAGGGAATAACTAAATATGTTTGAAGAGGGAAAGAAAAAGTTTGAAAAAGTATTAAAAATATGCAGAATATCAAGCATGACTCCAGAATGTAATTTATTTCTTTTATATTTTTTTGAGAAAAATATTTTTATTTATGTAAATTTACATTTATTAGAACCTCTTTTTCAAAGGAACGAGCAGAATGTTAGAGAATACAAATAAAAATTAAGCAAAGATAAAAAATAAAATATTTATCATAAAAAATATTAAATTTATGATTTTCCTACAGATAAGTAAAGTGAAATGTTTTATGATAATAAGAGTAGGATGGATTCAGACGTTTCAACCAATTCTATGTTTGATTACAGAAAAATGAACTTCAAATAATTTTAATAAAATTAGTAAAATAATTAAACAAATGACTAGACTTAAACACAAATGCTATAAATATAATAAGAAAGGTAATAATATAATTTTCTTTTCCAAAAAGAAAAGAGCAACCTTTAAGAAGAAATAAACAACCAACAATATTAAGAAGCAAATAAACTCCCAAGACTTTAAAATATCAACTCAAAATAAAGAGTTGCAAAAAATAAAGCCTCATAAAGAAATAAAATATGCTTTCCCTTAAATGAGTATTACTTAAAAAATTCCTCTCCTTCCTCTTTAGCGAATAAGTTAGATATAAATAAAATTTTTCCACAAAAGAAATAAATTATCAGATCTAGTGATGTTTCTTGAAAGAAAATTCTTATTTAAAAAGGATTAAAATTGAATATTGAAATAAAAAGATATAAATTATTGATCTAATAAGTAGAAATTAATACATTTAAATATCTACAACTTTGTTGGGATTCAAGCTGATATTAAAAATTCAAATAACTATTAAAATATAAAATATAAAATTAATTTAATTCTTCTTTAAAAAGACAAATAAAATATAGTTTAAATAAAATTATAATCAATTAAGATATAAAAGTAAATATAAATAAATAAATATAAAAATAGATAAAAAATGAACACTAAATCACTATTTCATTATTATTTTGTAAGTAAATATTATATATGTTTAAATCTTTAATAACAATTCTTATTTTGTCTCAAAACTAGTTTCTTATCTATTAAATAAGTAGAAATGGTTATTTTAATACTTAAAACAAACAAATTTTGTCTAAATCGCTATTTAAAGCATCTGAAAATTAAAAATTTTTAAATAAATATTTTGTATGTATAAATCTTTAATAATTCTTCTTAAATTAATGCTTTACCTCAAAACTACTTTATTATCTATTAAATAAGTAGAAATAGTTATTTTAATACTTAAAGCAAACAAATTTTGTCTAAATCACTATTTCAAACATCTGAAAATTTACTAATTTTTAAATAAATATTTTGTATGTATAAATCTTTAACAATACTTCTTAAATTCAATGCTTTGTCTCAAAACTAATTTCTTATCTATTAAATAAGTAGAAATAGTTGTTTTAATATTTAAAACAAGCAAAAAAACAAACAAATAAATTTTTTTTGTTTTAAATGCTTTGATATTTTAAAAAATTTAAATCTCCATTCTCATTTAAATTTCAAATAAAATCAATTTACTTCCAAAAAATATATCATCATAAATATGAGCTGTATTTATTAAAATATAAAAAATAACAGGATAAGTTAATGACAGAAGAGTGAGTTAGGAACTAACAAACAAATACATTTAACTACTAAATCATATTGAAAACTATTGATTCAAATTTGTTTTCCTTAATTATAAATTCTTAATTTAAATGATCTTATTTGAGAAACACTTTTTTTTCAAAGTTCATATTTCTAAGTTCTCTTAGCTCTTCTAGGATGGGGTTAATTGTCAGGATCGTTTGGACTGGCCATTCTAGCACCTTAAGCAAAATTAGGTTGTTTACCACTTCCGCCTTTTCATAAAAAAATTTGTTTAATATTTTTAATTATTTATGTTTAATAAATGTTATTTTTTACAAGGACATCCCATGATTTCTTTATCTTTTGCCCATACACATTATGAATTATCAGGACAAGTGCACTACCCAAAGTTTGATGAACATTCGAGTTTGGTAGTTCCGCAACCAAACTTTTAAGCTTACTTAACACATGTCAATTGTTGAGGATTTTTGACAGGAGTTTAGCAGGGACATCCCATAATAGGTTTATCATCTGTCCAAATACATTGTGATCCATCTTAGCATTTGCATTAACCAATTTTATCTTTAATTTCTATTTTTTCATCTGTGCAACCGAAGCCCATTACTTTTCTCCAAACATCTATGTAAATAAAATAATTGATAAATCTGCTTTCTAATTAAGGGAAATACTTGCTCCTTGGCATGCTGCGAGACACAATAATAAAGAAATTATTACTAATTTTTTCATTTCTCTGCTTTTTTAAATTAATATGAATTGTAATTTTTAGTTGATTAATATCTTTTCAAATTTTATTTCAAAATTGTGAACAATTTATTTAAATGAATTTCATGCTAAATAATCTTAAAACGAAAACATAAATTATTAATTTATATAAATAAATAAACAAACAAAGAAATGTTAATAACAATTTATATCAAAATCATCTTCTAATTTTCTTTGTACTAAAACCATTCATTTATTTATTATACTGAATTTAGGCTTAACAAATGTGAATATTCAATTGATCTAAAATTTAAATGTTAATTAGTTGTTTTTTAAATTCCACTCATTTATCAAAATTTAAATCCCTACTGGAACTCTAGTCATTTGAGGCAATAATTTAATTTTATTTTTATTGTAAGTAAATTTGAGGATATAAATCTATTCAAATTTACAAATAATGATAAATAGGAATTTTATCTCTTTAATAATGTCCTAAACTATATTTTTTTCAGATAAAATAAGTTTTATCAAATTGATTTTAAAGTTTTGAATTTATCTTATTTTAGATAATAAAATGGTAATTGTTTGTCTCTGTTTGATTTTTACTTAAACTTAATATGCATTTATAATACAAAATCATAGAGCTTTTTCATCAAGTATCAAAAAATGCTCTAAGTCCTTAATCTTTATGTTGATTGATATTTAATTTTAATGAACTTCTTTTGCTTTTATTTTTTATTAAATTTTCAACAGTTTTAATTTTTATTTATTAATTATTTTAATTTTTTTATTTAAGGTTAAAAGTTTATTTTAAAAATTACTAAATATTTTAATAAATCTAAAAATTAGAAATTATTTTATTATTCATAATTATATTTTTAAATATGAACATTAATTATTGATTTATAAAAAATATATTCAAATTTTGAACTCACAATAATTTTAAATTTGATAAAATACAGGTCTTAATAGAAGCATAATTGAATTACTTTTATTTTTGCAAATAAAATTAATGGTCTTTTTTTTTTACTATTAAATTTTGTTATTATTACCAACCAGTGTTTATTTATATCCTCTTTGGATATTTTCTTTGAATTTAAAAATCCATAGAAATACCAAAAATTTCAAAATGTAGGGCAACTGCATTAGAAAATAATGCCAGATGGAGTGTTATAAACATCAGGATGACAATCAGTACAAATCATTTTGATGTATGTCTCGTTTGGAGGAGTTTAGTCTAAACCACCATATGCAGCATCTCTATAATTCTAAGCAATAGAGCATCCTCTATCTACAAAAGAGCCATCAAGTTCTCTTGTACCTCCTGGAAAGAAGCCAATATCAGGATTATGAATAATAGCTCTGTACCTTCCTTCTTAATCTCTTTAGTATGTTACTTCATGTAACAACTCATCTAACGTATGTTAAGGACCAGATGTACATTATTACCAATTACTGTCGTTGATATTTAAACAGACCTCAGCAGCTTATAACTAGAATTGTCTTCTTATCTAAAAGTTTGGAGGAAGATTGGTATAACATTAACCATTTCCTTAAATAGCCCATGCAGTTCTAGGCCCTACCCTTTCAAGTCTTCTTTATTCTCTTACTTGAGCTTAGTAGCTTTCTTATCTCTATTTCATCGAATCTATTCTCCTTGTTATAGCTTGAGAAAGATTTGCTCTTACTTATGGATTTTCAGTCAAGTATTCCCATGATAAGAATCTATTTATCTTTAATAAAGCAGGATTTTTACTAATTGTTTACTCCCAATTTGCACTATCTTCTGGATTTCCTCCAAACTTATGGTCCAAAGTAACTTATCTTCTTGCTGTGAAGAAACCTTCAGCTTCATTTCCATGTAATTCGTTACGCAAAGCTTGAGTTACTTGTTCATCTGAAATACCTCCAGATAATTAAGGAGTGAAGAATACACAATCTTTAAAGACAGTTTGTTTTTCAATCATTCCACCAATTAAAGTATCCACAGCAATGTGAGTACCCCAGGCATTTAAGAATTCATTATAGATATCTTCTTGATAGTCTTCTGGTAGTGAATCAATAGCTCTTTAAGCGAATCTATTGAGCTTCAAATTATTTTCAGTCTTGAATGATATTCTGACTACATTTTTTAGTAATTAAGCAATAGAAGTATGTTGATTTCCTCTGAAGAACCTTTCGAAAACATCAATTAAGTCTTTGGATGAGCTGTATTCACCTCCAAGCCATTAACCATTCTAAGTAGCATCAAGCCAAATGTTAGTAAGCTCAAATTCATTTTTGAAAATTCTGATATCATCACCAGAATCAAACTAAAATACATCAGTCTCATCTGCAATAACAAATTAATTGTTTGAAATAGGGTCAGTGTAAATTGATTGCTAATTTGGCTCTTTGGAATATGAAAGTTAGATAGCAGGTAGTTTAAGTTCTCCTGTTGAAATATCAAAGGAAGCGCCTACTCCTGATGGCATATTGGGGATACCTTGTTAGAGTTATCTTTTAAAAGTAGCAGGTATATCTTATGGGCAATAACTTCCATAATAACCAGGAAAAGGACACAATTCTTACATAGCCTCTTCAACATTACTAGAAGATAAAAGTTTATACATAGTCTTCTTATTGTGCAAAGTTTATGAATGAACTAATATCAATAGTATTGATATACATATAAGTATTTTTTTAAGAACCATTTTTCTTTCTTTCTTTTATGTTTCAATATACTTGATTTCTCTTTATTTTTGTTATTTGATCTTTATCAAAATAAGTAGGAAAGGATATTAAATTCTTAAAAATATCACACATATTCCTTGTAAAGGATAAAATAATCAAATTTTTCTGATTGATAAGTAGCCATCAGTAAATGAAACAAAATTAATTTAATGTAATTAAAGTGTATCAGATACATGAAAATAGTAAATAATAGATTCAAAAAATTATTATACCACTTTCAATTTTTACTTTACAGTTGATGTGGAAAAGAAATAATTTAATTTTAAATTTAATATAAAGTAATTTAATTAAAATTAATATTTTTATCATAAAATTTTTGTTGTATGTTTTTATAATACAGTAGTTCCTCATTAATTCTAACCAACCCCCACTATTTTTTAAGCATTAAATGGTGATAAAATAAAGTGATAGATAGTGGGTGCTATTCGTTTGAACTCCCCTAATAAAATTTTGAAAATTATATTTATTAATCATTTTTAATATTATGCTTCTTTTTTTATAAAAATTTATGATTGAGTATTTGAATTGAAAAAAAAATTTTTTTTCTTTTAATTAAATTTTTTGACTTCTGCTCTAATTAGCAAATCTTCCAAGCTGATCACAATCAATTTTTATTTTTACTGATCTTGATATAGTAGATTTTCTGATTTAATTATAAATATTTTAGGCGCCAGATTTAAGATTATTATTTCTAAAAATTAACCTAAAAAAGTAAAATGCTAAAAACGCAAAATTAATTGAAAATTCATATTTTGACTTTAGTCCCTCAAATGATTTAGCATTTCTCTCTCAATATTCTTACCTTATCTCATCTTGACTCATCACTCACTAATCACCTTAAGATAATGCTTAATCAAATTAGCTTGGTTAGGGATTAAGTATCGATTGTATAGTGTCTTAAGATTTATTAAGAATGGTTACCTAAGATACCAAGAATAACCTCCAAGTTAACCTGCTTAGTTAGAGAAACCAGTTTTACCTACTTTTAAGACATTACTCTTAAATTCTAAAAGTGTGTAACTGATTTAGCTTATATTGACTTTACTTTACCTCCAAACGATAAAAAAATTAATAGGTAAATTTAAAAATTAATTCAATTTAATTACTACTCTAATGAGGAAAGAAGTAAATCTTGTACTTAAATGAAATATTTTATTTACTCCTCCCTTAAACTGGCCAATTATTTTGAGAGTTTAAGTACATTTATTTCAAAATCCAAATAGAAAGTTCACCCTCAAAAATTTTGTTCAATTAGAAGTGATTTTATAGATGATCTAATATCTCCCTATTACGAAGAAAAACTTTATGTTAGTAGATTTACCCAATAATATGCTAGAAGAGGAGCTCAATTTCCTAAGAAACCTTCAGAAATTACTCAACTCAAAAGTGCCCTTTCTTTGCATTACCTGATGAAAAAACAAAATATTATCAATACCCTAATTCATAATAGGAATCCTTACTATGGCAGATTTAATCACATATAAGACTATGAAGGCAATTAACTAGATTGAAAATCCACTTTTATTTACGAATTTTAATTAAATCTAATTTTCCTTAGTGTCATATGATAATTCAATTTTATCAATTTAATTATTAATAATAAAAATAAATTTATTTTTATTGCATAACAGTTTATATCAGTGTCAAATAAATTCATACATATTAATTATTAATGAAAATGAAGGATGATACGAGGAGGAATAGTAATTGTAAAGGATTTTCTTTGGTAATACCCATTATATCAAAAACTTCAAAATCTACCTAATAACTAAACATTATTTGATATCTATGGCGATACATGAAATAGAAAATTAAGAAGTAAAAAATATTCAAGTAAATTTGAGGATATAAATCTTTTCAAATTTACAAATAATTATTAATCTCTTAGTCCTTAATTCTTTATGTTTATTAAAATTTAATTTTAATGTTTTTCTTTTACTTTTTATTTTGTACTTAAATTTTTAATATTTTAAATTTTATTTATTAATTATTTTAATATTTTTTATTTCTGTTATTAATTTAAAAAAAACCTCTAAGTATTTTGACAAATTCTAAAAAATAGATATAATTTTTTAATAATTTAATTATATTTTAAATATACAAACACATAAATTATTGGTTTGTAAAAAAATATTTTAAATTTTGATATCACATTATTTTTAAATTTGATAAAAAACATTTTGATAGAAATATTATTAAGAACTTTTATTTGTATATATAATTAATGGCCTTTTTTTTTTACTTTTAAATTTTGTTATTATTGCCAATATTTATTAATATATCATTTTGATGTTTTCTTTGAATTTAATAATCCATAGAATTATCAAAAATTTCAAAATGCAGGACAACTGCATTAGAAAATAATACCAGATGGAGTGTTATAAACGTCAGGATGACAATCAGTACAAACCATTTTAATGTAAGTCTCGTTTGGAGGAGTTTAGTCTAAACCACTATACACAGCATCTCTATAATGCTAAGCAATAGAGCATCCTCTATCTACAAAAGAACCATCAAGTTCGTTTTAACCACCTGGAAACTCAGCTACAGGATTATGCATAATAGCTCTGTACCTTCCTTCTTAATCTCTTTCGTATCTTACTTCATGCATAAACTCATCATACGTATTTTAAGGACCAGATGTACATTATAACCAATTAGCATCTCTGCTATTTAAACAGACTTCAGCAGCTTATAATTAAAATTGTCTTCTTATCTAAAAGTTTGGAGGAAGATTGGTATAACATTAACCATTTCCTTAAATAGCCCATGCAGTTCTAGGCCCTACCCTTTCAAGTCTTCTTTATTCTCTTACTTGAGCTTAGTAGCTTTCTTATCTCTATTTCATCGAATCTATTCTCCTTGTTATAGCTTGAGAAAGATTTGCTCTTACTTATGGATTTTCAGTCAAGTATTCCCATGATAAGAATCTATTTATCTTTAATAAAGCAGGATTTTTACTAATTGTTTACTCCCAATTTGCACTATCTTCTGGATTTCCTCCAAACTTATGGTCCAAAGTAACTTATCTTCTTGCTGTGAAGAAACCTTCAGCTTCATTTCCATGTAATTCGTTACGTAAAGCTTGAACTATTTATTCTTCTGAAATACCTCCAGATAATTAAGGAGTGAAAAATACGCAGTCTTTAAAGATAGTTTGTTTTTCAATCATACCACCTATTAAAGTATCCACAGCAATGTGAGTACCCCAAGCATTTAAGAATTCGTTGTAGATATCTTCTTGATAGTCTTCTGGTAGTGAATCAATAGCTCTTTAAGCGAATCTATTGAGCTTCAAATTATTTTCAGTCTTGAATGATATTCTGACTACATTTTTTAGTAATTAAGCAATAGAAGTATGTTGATTTCCTCTGAAGAACCTTTCGAAAACATCAATTAAGTCTTTGGATGAGCTGTATTCACCTCCAAGCCATTAACCATTCTAAGTAGCATCAAGCCAAATGTTAGTAAGCTCAAATTCATTTTTGAAAATTCTAATATCATCACCAGAATCAAACTAAAATACATCAGTCTCATCTGCAATAACAAATTAATTGTTAGAAATAGGGTCAGTGTAAATTGATTGCTAATTTGGCTCTTTGGAATATGAAAGTTAGATAGCAGGTAGTTTAAGTTCTCCTGTTGAAATATCAAAGGAAGCGCCTACTCCTGATGGCATATTGGGGATACCTTGTTAGAGTTATCTTTTAAAAGTAGCAGGTATATCTTATGGGCAATAATTTCCATAATAACCAGGAAAAGGACACAATTCTTACATAGCCTCTTCAACATTACTAGAAGATAAAAGTTTATACATAGTCTTCTTACTGTGCAAAGTTTATGAATGAGCTAATATCAATAATATTGATAAACATAAAAGTATTTTTTTAAGAACCATTTTTCTTTCTTTGTTTTATGTTTTCAATATACTTGATTTCTCTTTTTGTTATTTGATCTTTATCAAAATAAATAGGTAAATTATATTAAATTCGTAAAAACATAACACCTATTCCATGTAAAGGATAAAATAATCAAAATTTCTGATTGATAAGAAGCCATCAGTAAATTGAACAAAATTAATTTAATGTAATTAAAGTGTATCAAATATATGAAAATAGTAAATAATAGATTCAAAAAATTATTATACCACTTTCAATTTTTACTTTACAGTTGATGTGGAAAAGAAATAATTTAATTTTAGATTTAAGTAATTTAATTAAATTTTAATATGTTTAAATTAAATATTTATTGTATGATTTTTTATATTTACATGTAATTTAAAATAAAAATTTTATATGGTTGATTTTTATTTTATTATATAATATGAATAATTACTTAGCAGAAAAGATTTATTATATAATAAACTAATGATTTATATATTATTTTATGGCCTTCTGGTCTTCTGGTTGGCGGGTTGGCTGGCATCTTGGTCAGAATTCTTGATACCACATATATATATATATAAATAATAATTATTAATTATAAATATCCAATAAAATAAATAAATAAAAAATATAAATATATATATTATATTTAAGATGTATTCTGAGTGCATTTATATTTGCGAGTATTTCTATTCTATTCTATTCTATCGCCAATCTAATTTACACTTTTTAAATATTGAAGAAAATAACCAGAGTTAATTAGTTATTTAGAAGGAAAATATGAAATAAATAGAATTGAAGTGAATAAATCAAATAAAAAGTTGAAAATTAAAAATAGTTATTTAAATTAAAAAAAAACACAAAGACCAAAGTAGAATAAAAAAGAAAAATAAATCTAATAAATGGCTCATAAATAGATTAAAAGAGTTTTATTTTTTAAATTCATTAATTTTTATAAAATATTAAAATCATAAATAAACAAATAAACTATTTTTACTCAAGATTAAGCTTAAAATTTGAGAGATTAGTGCACTTTGATAAAGCAGAACTTAAGTATTATGCACCAGTTACACAAATTTAATTACCACTTTTTCAATATTGGAGAAAATAAATATAATTGATTTATTAGTTATAGGAAAAAATGAATAAAAAAACATGAAATAATCATAAAATAATTAATTAAAATAAAAATTGAAAGTGAAAAAGTCTATAAATTTAATTAAGAAATGAAGAAGAAAAAAATAAAACACACAAACATAATAAAAAAAAAAGTAAAATAAATCAAATAAATAGCTAATAAATAGATAAATAAATTAAAGAGTTAGTTATATTGTTATAAATGGAATTATAATTAAAAATATAAACTCTTAAACAAATAAATTGATTTTACTCAAGAATAAGTATTAAATTTGAAAGATTAGTGCAGTTTTCTAAAGCCTAACCTAAGCATGATGCCTCTTGCTAAGTAATTTAATTCTACCTTTTTAAATATTGAAGAAAAAATAATAATTAATAAATTGATTAGAAGGTAATAATGAAGTAAAAATCTGAGATAATAAGAAATGAATTATTAACAATCAAAGTAAAACTTAAAAATTAAAAAATAAGTTAAAATAATTAAAAAAAATATTTGCTTAACTAAAAACGAGTAAATACATATGAGAATATTTAGTAGATAATAAATTTTTAAGTAACTTGAAAATTAAATTAAAAAAAAGATTGATAAATTAAATTTACTAAAGATCAATATTGAGAACTGAATGAGATTAAAATGCAGAGTTTAAGAACTATTTTTATTAATAAAATTAAATTAAACTAATATTTTTAAAAATAAGTAATTACATCTTATAGATTTTTATAATTATTTTTTTATTATATCATTTATTTATTTTATTTTATTTGAATAGAAATTTGTACAATTTTACTTAATTATAAATTTAATCAAAAATTTTAGTTTTATGCAGAGTTTATTTACATAAATAAATAAATAAAATATCTTAAATCAAATACTAATTTATAAAATTTGCTTTAGAAAAAAATTTTTAAAATGTTAATATAAAATTCATTATAAATAGTAATGGTGCTATTACTAAATTTTTTTAGCGGAATCCATACACATCTATGTTAGAAGCTAAGGGACCACAAATTTTTAAAAATAATATATATGAATGATCACTAAATATTATAAATATGATATTGGTTTAGCTGGGTTTAGATTTATATGAATAAAATTTAAATTCAAAAATTTTTGAATAAAAAAAAATATTTTAAATTTATATATGTTTTTATTTTTATATTTGATAAAAAACATTTTTTGACAGAAATATAATTAAGTACTATTTTATTTGTAAATATAATTAATGGTCTTTATTATTTTTTTTACTATTAAATTTAGTTATTATTATCATATTTATTTAATCCGTTTTGGATATTTTCTTTGAATTTAATAATCCATAGAATTATCAAAAATTTCAAAATGTAGGACAACTGCATTAGAAAATAATACCAGATGGAGTGTTATAAACATCAGGATGACAATCAAGACAAACCATTTTAATGTATGTCTCGTTTGGAGGAGTTTAGTCTAAACTACTATACACAGCATCTCTATAATTCTAAGCTACGGAGCATCCTCTATCTACAAAAGAGCCATCAAGTACTCTTGTACCTCCTGGATAGAATTCAATTTGAGGATTATGCATAATAGCTCTGTACCTTCCTTCTTAATCTCTTTCGTATCTCACTTCATTCAGCTACTCATCATAAGTATTTTAAGGACCAGATGTACATTATAACCAATTAGCATCAGTGCTATTTAAACAGACCTCAGAAGTTTATAATTAGAATTGTCTTCTTATCTAAAAGCTAGGACCAACAAGATGGCATTAACCATTTCCTTAAATAGCCCACGCAGTTTTAGGTCCTACCCTTTCAAGTCTTCTTTATTCTCTTACTTGAGCTTAGTTGCTTTCTTATCTCTATCTCATCAAATCTATTCTCCTTGTTATAGCTTGCGAAAGATTTTCTCTTACTTAGGGATTTTCAGTGAAGTATTCCCAAGATAAGAATCTATTTATCTTTAATAAAGCAGGATTTTTGCTAATTGTTTACTCCCAATTCGCACTTTCTTCTGGATTTCCTCCAAACTTATGATCCAAAGTAACTTATCTTCTTGCAGTGAAGAAACCTTCAGCTTCATTTCCATATAATTCATTACGTAAAGCTTGAATTACTTGTCCATCTGAAGCACCTCCAGAGAATTAAGGAGTGAAAAATACGCAGTCTTTAAAGATAGTTTGTTTTTCAATCATACCACCAATTAAAGTATCCACAGCAATGTGAGTACCCCAAGCATTAAAGAATTCATTGTAGATATCTTCTTGATAATCTTCTGGTAGTGAATCAATAGCTCTCTAAGCGAATCTATTGAGCTTCAAATTATGTTCTGTTTTGAATGATATTCTGACTACATTTTTTAGTAATTAAGCAATAGAAGTATTTTGGTTTCCTTTGAAGAATCTTTCAAAAACATCAATTAAATCTTTGGATGAGCTGTATTAACCTCCAAGCCATTAACCATCCTTAGTAGCATCAAGCCAAATGTTAGCAAGTTCAAATTCATTTTTGAAAATTCTAATATCATCGCCAGAATCAAACTAAAATGCATCAGTCTCATCTGCAATAACAAATTAATTGTTAGAAATAGGGTCAGTGTAAATTTATTGCTAATTTGGCTCTTAGGAATATGTAAGCTAGATAGCAGGTAGTTTAAGTTCTCCTGTTGAAACATCAAAGGAAGCGCCTACTCCTGCTGGCATATTGGGGATGCCTTGTTAGAGTTATCTTTTATAAGCAGCAGGTATATCTTATGGACAATAACTTCCGTAATAACCAGGAAAAGGACACAATTCTTAAATGGCCTCTTCAACATTACTAGAAGACAAGAGTTTATACATAGTCTTCTTACTGTGCAAAGTTTATGAATGAGCTAATATCAATAATATTGATATACAAAGAAATATTTTTTTAAGAACCATTTTTCTTATTTTCTTTTATGTTTTCAAAAAAATTGATTTCTCCTTATTTTTGTTATTTGATATTTATCAAAATAAGTAAATAAATGATATTAAATTCCTAAAAACATCACACATATTTCTTGTAGAGGATAAAATAATCAAATTTCTGATTGATAAGAAGCTATCAGTAAATTAAACAAAATTACTTTAAAGTAATTAAAGTGTATCAAATACATGAACACAGTAAATAATAGATTCACAAAATTATTATTTCATTTTCAATTTTTAAGTTGAAATATTTATTTTTACATTTTACATTAAGTAATTAAATTAAATTTTTATTTTTAATGTAAAATATTTGTTATATGATTTTATATAATAGATTTTTACATTATAATATAATATGCTTAATTATTTTAAAAGAAAATATTAATTTTTTAATAATTTTTATTGAAAAATTTTTAAATAAAAATATAAATTACTTTTAATAAAGATAGATAGATATATATAATAATTTTATTTATTACTTTATTTTTTTGCTTCAAATATATAATTTAAATATTAATATGTGTTTTAATTAAAGTTTTTTATTTAATCAATGAAACTGAAAAATTCAGTCATATTTGCTAGATTAACAACAGTTTTCTTAAAATATTTTTTCAATAATTTATATTTATGTTAATATCTAAATAAATATATTTTTTAACAAACAATATAATTTATTTTTTGTTTCAAATATATTTAGAAAAAACACTTGTTCGAAATAATAGATGATTTTTATTGAGATAGAACTGTTTAAAACTCTTTTATTTATTATAAAAGAATAAATAGATAACACTCAGTTATGATATATATTAAGAATTAAATTAATTTGTAAAATATTTAATTTATTTTTAAAAATATTTAAATATATTTTCTATTTATTCTACATTACTAATTAAAATTAAGAAATTTTTAATTTAGAGAAATATTAGGGTAGATTATCAATAAAAATATATTATTCATTTGTCTAAAATAAGATAGGGAGTGTCAATCAAATTTATTTCATCTAACTAAAAATTAAAAAAAACACTAAAAGAATTTAGGTATAAATTATTTAATTTAAAATATAACTTTGTGTAAGAAATATATATTTAGTAAAGTAAAAAATACTCATTAATAAAATAAATCCAAATAAATTTAAATAAGTATTTAAAATTAAAAAAAATATTATCATACATTTGAGATAAAGTAATGTACTATTAAAATATTGTATATAAAAGTGAATTTAATTCTATTTTGTTGTCAGTGTTATCAGAATATCTTTATGAAAATATTCAAATAATCTGATATTCTATTTCTTTTTAAAATGATTATTATATTGTAGAAAACTATCATAGATTCCAAAGGTGTGAATATAATATTTAAATGAAAAAAGTAAATCAGTAATTTTATTAAAAAATAAATTCCCCATTTAAAAAAATGACATTTGAATGACTAATTGCCTACCAAACTACATGAGCCTGCGTCACAAAATACAAGGGTAAAACATCAAAAACGAAGAAATATATACCCCATTTTAGTAATAAGTAATCAGGTTAATCTAGTTCTGGATCAACACATCTACAATAAATAAAGCATTGGAGCCAAAATAAACATCACGATTAAATACACCTAAATATATGAGCTTGCTTATCAAACATATTAAAATTATAACTCATTTTAATTTGAAATTTATGAAAACTATAAGATAAATATTTGGCATGACTTTCCCACCGTGAGAGTATGGAGTAAATGAAAGAAGGAAATTATCATTATTTCATATTATACATTAATAGTCCAATTTTAGAGAAAAATAATTAATGGGGCTAATCAGCTATGAGTCAAAGCATCTTCAATATTTTTAATTTCTACTTCTTAGTATAAATAAAAAATAAAAATCATATTATGTAATAAAAAATCAATGAAACTTACTCATAGAGTTTTGCAAGACCAAAAGTAATCTACAAAAAAACCAAACAAAAAATACACCTTACAATTATTCAAATATGTTTTGAAAAACATAGATATTAAATATATCATGTAAGAAGTAAAAGACCTTTTGGCCAATAAAGTTTTTACAAAAGTTAATCTAAGGAATGATTTAAAACAGACATTATTCAAATATTTATTATGAAAAATAACAAAAAATAGAAAAAAAATTATCAAAATGAAATAAATAAAAAATAATTAATTAAAACAATAAAGTTAATTTGATATCACAAAATATTTAAAATCTAGTGAATGATATCTATATAAATAAATATAATGATAGTATTTATAATTATGTTTTTTAAATCTTCTTACTTTTGTTTATTATTTTTTAATTATGATAACTAATCTTTTTGATTTAAATAACATGCTCTTTACTTTCAATTCTTCTGATCCTAAGATTTCGTTATCACTTTTTATATAAATTTTCATAAATGACAAATTAAAATAATCAAAATAAAATGTTTAAATTTAAATTTTTATTCTAAATTAGAAAATAAAATATATTCAACGACAAAAAAAATAAAAATAAATCAAAAAAAAGCTAATAAATAAATTAAGAGTTTTATAGTATTAAATTCATTTTAATGTTAAAAAATATCAAAATCTAAAACAAATAAACTGCTTTTACTTGAGATTAAAAGCCAAATTCAAGAGATTATTGCACTTTCTTAAACTAAACCTAAGCTTGATGCACCTTCCTAACTAATTTAATTTCCATTAATTAAATATTGAAGAAAAAATAAATTATTAATTAGTAAGTTATCAGGAAAAAATGAAAAAAAATTATTATAAAATGAGTAACGATTTGATTAATAAAGAAAGCAAATTAGAATGTCAAAAAATCAATTACTAAGTAAAGAATGAAAGAAAGAAGAAGAAGAAAAAACACACACACAAGCACAATAAAAAAAAGAGAAAGAAAAATAAATTAAATAAATTAATTAAAAGAGTTTTATTACTTTAAATGCATTTTTATGATAAAAAACATCAAAATCCAAAACAAATAAACTATATTTAATTAAGATTAAATATAAAATTTAGGAGATTATTGTACTTTACTAAGCAAACCTAAGCCTGATACACCTTCATAGCCAATTTAATTTCCACTTTTTAATTATTTAAAAAATTTTTGTTATTTAGTCGTTAGAAGGAACAATATGAAATAATAAAAAATTAATAAATTAATAATCAAGTCACAGAGTTTATATGGAAAAATAATAATAAAAAAATATCTTAGATGAAATACTAATTTATTAATTTGCATTTAGGAAAAAATCTTAAAAAAGTGTTATTCATTATTAAACATTAATAGTACTAGTTAAAATGTATATAGTATAGCCGTTCCTTATTTAAAAATTCCACTGATTTGATATATGTAATTAATAAGCGGATTTTTTTAATATACACATAAATTATTGATTCGTAACAAAAATATTTTAAATTTAGATATCACAGTATTTATTTTTATATTTGATAAAAAACATGTATTGATAGAAATATAATTAACTGTTTTTTTATTGAAATCTTAATTAAAGGTCATTATTTTTTTTTACTACTAAATTTAATTATAATAATCCTTGAATTGTCAAAAATTTCAAAATGTAGGACAACTGCATTAGAAAATAATACCAGATGGAGTGTTATAAATATCAGGATGACAATCAGTACAAACCATTTTAATGTATGTCTCGTTTGGAGGAGTTTAGTCTAAACTACTATACGCAGCATCTCTATAATGCTAAGCAATAGAGCATCCTCTATCTACAAAAGAACCATCAAGTTCGTTTTAACCTCCTGGAAACTCAGCTACAGGATTATGCATAATTGCTCTGTACCTTCCTTCTTAATCTCTTTCGTATCTCACTTCATTCATAAATTCATCATACGTATTTTAAGGACCAGATGTACATTATTACCAATTAGCATCAGTGCTAATTAAACAGACCTCAGCAGCTTATAATTAGAATTGTCTTCTTATTTAAAAGCTTGGACCAAGATTGTGGCATTAACCATTTCCTTAAATAGCCCATGCAGTTCTAGGTCCTACCCTTTCAAGTCTTCTTTATTCTCTTACTTGAGCTTAGTAGCTTTCTTATCTCTATCTCATCGTATCTATTCTCCTTATTATAGCTTACGAAAGATTTGCACTTACTTAGGGATTTTTAGTCAAGTATTCCCAAGATAAGAATCTATTTATCTTTAATAAAGCAGGATTTTTACTAATTGTTTACTCCCAGTTTGCACTGTCTTCTGGATTTCCTCCAAACTTATGGTCCAAAGTAACTTATCTTCTTGCAGTGAAGAAACCTTCAGCTTCATTTCCATGTAATTCGTTACGCAAAGCTTGGATTACTTGCTCATCTGAAATACCTCCAGAGAATTAAGGAGTGAAAAATACGCAGTCTTTAAAGATAGTTTGTTTTTCAATCATTCCACCAATTAAAGTATCCACAGCAATATGAGTACCCCAAGCATTTAAGAATTCATTGTAGATATCTTCTTGATAGTCTTCTGGTAAAGAATCAATAGCTCTCTAAGCGAATCTATTGAGCTTCAAATTATGTTCTGTCTTGAATGATATTCTGACTACATTTTTTGGTAATTAAGCAATAGAAGTATGTTGATTTCCTCTGAAGAATCTTTCGAAAACATCAATTAAATCTTTGGATGAGCTGTATTAACCTCCAAGCCATTAACCATCCTTAGTAGCATCAAGCCAAATTTTAGTAAGTTCAAATTCATTTTTAAAAATTTGAATATCATCACGAGAATCAAACTAAAATACATCAGTCTCATCTGCAACAACAAATTAATTGTTAGAAAGAGGGTCAGTGTAAATTTATTGCTAATTTGGCTCTTAGGAATATGTAAGCTAAATAACAGGTAGTTTAAGTTCTCCTGTTGAAACATCAAAGGAAGCGCCTACTCCTGCTGGCATATTGGGGATACTTTGTTAGAGTTATCTTTTATAAGCAGCAGGTATATCTTATGGACAATAACTTCCGTAATAACCAGGAAAAGGACACAATTCTTACATAGCCTCTTCAACATTACTAGAAGACAAGAGTTTATACATAGTCTTCTTATTGTGCAAAGTTTACGAATGAACTAATATCAATAGTATTGATATACATATAAGTATTTTTTTAAGAACCATTTTTCTTTCTTTCTTTTATGTTTTAAAATTTCTTGATTTCTCTTTATTTTTATTATTTGATCTTTATCAAAATAAGTAGGTAAATGGTATTAAATTCATAAAAACATAACCAATATTCTTTGTAGAAGACCAAATAATTAAATTTCTGATTGATAAGAAGCCATCAGTAAATTAAACAAAATTAATTTAAAGTATTTAAATTTTATCAAATACATGAACACTGTTAATAATAGATTATCAAAATTGTTATACAACTTTCAATTTTAAAGTTCTTGTTGAAGTGGAAAAGAAATAATTTATTTTTGGATTTGATATTAAGTAATTTAATAAAATTTTAATTTTTATCATAAAATATTAGTTTTATGATTTATTATTTATAAATATAATTTAAAATATTAATTATTTTGTAATAAACAGTAAAGTAAGTGGACACCCTCATAAAGTGGAAACTTTTTAATTTACAGAGTATTTAACCAAAAATTTCATTCATTTGAACCTCAATAAAAAGTAAACCTGTAAATTGAAGAAAGTGGACATTTTTAATAAAGTTCAGTCAAAAATATACCAGATAAAGAGGATATTTGATAAAATTTTTAATTTTTCAGTTAAATAAATTATATTAAATTAAAAATTCAGTAATATTTTAATTTCAAATTTGAATTTTTACAAATAATTAAATTAAAAAAACAGCATAAGTAAGTCATATTTAAAAATATCATAAAGTGAATTACATTTTGACTAAAGAAAAATTTCAATTTATAAAAGATATAGATAATAATAAGGATTGTTTTATAAATTGTTTTAATAAAGCTTATTTTACTGCATATAATTAAATGGATTAGGAAATCAACAAGTAGGAAGTGCTTCATTTATTGGAAGAAACGTTTTAAAAATTTAAAGATTTTAAAAGTGAATTATCTAATTTCTTTAGATGAATTTATAGAGTTTGATAATTTTCAAACCTGAAGAGAAAATGATAAAATAGAGAAACTGTTATATCACAAATAATATATGAACATTTAACAGTCGAAGTAGAAGAATGAAACTCAGAATGATGATGAGGATTTAAAACAGTCTACAAAATAAATGAAGCATATATTATTAATAACATTATGGATCTTTCTTAAAAAGTTTTAGAAATTGAAAGTAAAAAAATAAATAAATTTAAAATAATAAACAAACAAATATATTTATAAAATTCTTTAGTAAATTATAATAATATTTTTTTTAATTACAAATAAATAATAATATTAGTTTTTTAAATTTGTTAGAGGCTGTTTAATATTCAAATTTTTATTAAGTAAATAAAATAACTTATGAATTAGATAACAAATATTCTTAATTTTAAATAATAATTATTTTTTAAATTAAAGTATAAATTGTTCTTTAGATAAAATAGTTCATATAAAAATAATTATTCTAAAATCTAATTACTTAGTTTTTATTTATAAAATATTTAAAGATTATTAAAATGCAAATCAAGCAAGCAAGATCTTTCTTATCATATAACAAAATTTATTATTTTATTATTCAAAAATTAAGAAAATAAATAATAAAAATAAAATTTTAAATGAAATCAAATATTTTATGCTTAAACATATTTAAACATTTACATTTATTTTAAGAATTAAATTAAAAGGGTAAAATAATTTATTAAAAAATACAACAAACAAATAGAGATATAAATTTTAGTTAAATAAGGATAAATTAAATAATTAAATTAATAATATTAAGATTTTTATCAAAGTTTATCAAGATAATTGTTGAGCTCTGGTATTTTAGCATTCAAACCTTTTCTAATTCTTATTTCATTGACGATCTTACCTGATTTTGATTCTGGGTCAAGTGGGTTGCCTTAAACTACTTGCCAGTGACTGAATGAGAGAGCAGGTATAGCCTTACCTTGAGTGGCTGACTTCAAGGCTTAGTCTAGTCCAAAGCTTTCAGATACAGGGATGTGGGCTTATATCACAGAGAGTGTATCTTCATATTCTTCTCCAACAACTATACCTCTTCTCTTGTTTAAGACTGCATATATAGGGCCTTTGCTTTCGTCTGGAATTCTAATGTCGCATAAGTAAAATGGCTCCAGAATTTTAGGTTCACTCACATATTGGCAAGCCTTAAATAATCTTCTAGCAGCTGGTGTTATTTAATTGCTACGATGGTGAGCTGGATCTACATGTATTACTGCATCCATAATGTTAAAACGAATATTTCTTAGGGGTTCATCACATAAAAGACCTTCCTTTGTACACCATTCGAAAGCTGTTATGATTGAAGGCTGAATGGCAGGCATACCTTATATACCAACTGTTTGGTTTACGATGCAATTAGTTGATTCCTTTTCTAGAGGACCGAAGCACCATATACGCTTTGCATCTTCTCTTTCCCATGAGTAATCATTCACCAAACTGTTGATTGTTTCTTAACTATTGATTTCCTGTATATTTATTTTGTTGCTTACAATAGCTGATCCTAATTCTTCATCTAGAGGTTCGCAAGTACCATATAAACGATTCAACTTATTTGCAGTCTTAGCAAGGCACATTTAAGAACTCTTATCACCTATGGTTTCTCTATACGATACAGTGGGCTGAGAAGCGACGATATTGATAGAATTGTGGGTGAAATCATTGAGCTTTTCTAGACAAATTTGGACGTGTAGCTCTCCACCACCAGCAACAACATAAGAACCTGTATTTTCATCAACTTCTACTTAAACAAGAGGGTCATACTTTTGAAGCATCTTAAGACCTTCAAGAAGACGTGGAAGATCTTGCTAGTTGGGAGTATTAACAGCAACTCTCAATATAGGTGAAATCGTATATTTCATGTTTCTGATATTATGTGCTGTTTCAGAAGTTGTAAGAGTGCCTGTCTTAGTAAGTGCATTATCAACACCTAAAATGAGGACAGTACCTCCAGCTGGTACTGATTCGATAGGTTCGTGTTATTTACCCATCATCAAAAAGGTTCTCTAGATAGTTTTGATAAAGAGACCTTCCTTACTTCCTGGCTTGTAATCAGGGCCTTGAACTCTAACTTTCATTCCTTGAGAAATTGTACCACTGAATACTCTACCGAAAGCATAAAATCTGCTGAGATCTGCAGTTGGGACCATTTTTGAAACATAAAGCATAAGAGGTCCCTCAGAATTACATTCTCTCATGGCTGTGCAAGCCTCATCATCTGCAGGCCCTTCGTAGAGATACAAACTACGATACTTCATAGCTTCTTTAGGCGAAGGAAGGTGATCTTAGACCATTTCAAGTATAGCATCTGCTAAAGGTAACCAAGCTCTCATAGTTCTTTTGATTCTCTCTTGAACATCAACTTGTTTGAGTCTTTCTAATTCAGCTGTAGTTAAAATAGTAGAGAGGTTGAGCTTTTCAACCATCTTAGATAGAACTTCTACATCTGCGCTTGAAGAAGCAGAGTAGTACTTATCTAAAGGAACTAAAACGAATTCAATGAAAGAGCGCAAAGCTTTCTTGTTTTAGTTATTAATTTTGGTTATTTCTGAGGTGAATGATTTGGTTTGAGAGTTAAAGTAGTTATCTCCCCATAACTTAGCCATTAAGGTTTCCTCCTTGGTTGAGAATTTTTGGCTGTAAATTCTTGCAAAAGTTTTTAAGGTGAATCCCCAACACTACTTACCAGAAGAGAAGGCAACGTTACCTAGTGAAGGATCTAAAGTGTAACCTCTAATAGAATCGTTTTCGTGCATCTCTAAGATGGAATTAACTTTTGCTATAATCTTAACAAGTCTTTGATAAATATTTTCATAATCATCCTTAAGTTCACTAAAAAGCCTGTCTAGCTTATTAATTACAAGAACGGGTCGTATTCGCTCTTGGCAAGCCTGCCTTAGAACTGTTTCTGTCTGAACAGCAACACCTTCAACAGCATCCACTACTACAAGAGCTCCATCAGTAACTCTTAAAGCAGCAGTGACTTCACCAGAAAAGTCAATATGACCAGGAGAATCAATCAAATTAATGATACTCTCCTACTTGGTCACAGTATTTTGATAGTATAAGGAAACTCCAGTAGACTTAATGGTGATACCCATTTCTTACTCCTTAGGGTCAGTATCCATCAAGCAGGCTTTACCAGCGTTGTTTTCAGATATAATACCAGCTCTAGCTAATAAGGAATCAGTTAAAGTAGTCTTACCGTGATCAACGTGGGCTATGACAGACATATTTCTGATTTGGTTAGGGTTCATCATGAGTTCTCTTATCTTCTCAATTTAGAGAGTCTTCATTATTTGATATTTTCTCTTTAGTGTCTTTTGTAAATAATTTGCTAGCTTATTGCTCTTTTTTTTTTAGTGGTTTTTATTGTTTTAATAAATTAATTAATTGCCTTCAATAATATGCTTGATAGTAAAGGTTTTAAAGAAAACAATATTTGACTATTTTATTTAATAATAGATGAAAATATTTAGATCTGTTGATTTCTGAAATAAATATAAATAATTCTTTTCATCTATATATATTCAAATAAATTAATTAAGATATTGCTAATGTTAAAAAAAGTAAATTTTAATTAAGAGTTAAGCAAAGTATATTGAAAATAGATTCTGATTTATTAATTAATTTCAGAAATACCATCTGATGAAATCTGTTTGAATTAATAATAATTCTTTTAAATAGAAAAAAAATATTGCTGATAAAATCCATTTTTTTTAATAATAATTCTTTTGAAATTTTACAATTAAATTGAAAAATGCTTAGAAATTAAAAATTAATTCGGCTATAAAATTAATCTTCATTCTAAATGAGTTAAATAATTATAATAAAATCATCAAATTCTCTTTTAATATTTCATTAAACTAATCTCTTATTTTAATTTTATTTAAAAAATAATAGATCCTTAATTCACCAAAAAAGAAGAAATCTAAAAAAGATAGAAAATTAAATTGATAGTTTTGATTAAAATATTTTATTTATTATTTATTTATTACTTAACATTTTCATAAAAAATAATTCGAATTAAAAATATATCTATTATATTATAAAATCAAATGGAGTTCAATACTAATCGCATAAAGAATGAATAATAGGTTAATATAATTCACCTTTTATATGAATAAATTTCTTAAGAAAACTCCTCACATATTATGCTAATGGTTATTCATTCATATAAGAGGTCAGTGTTAATTCAGCTATTTATCTTGCTAATCTATAAATATCAAATTTTAAAAGTAATTTCATTCATGTTTAATATCATTCCCAAGTTTAAGAAACCCTTTATCCAAAATTAGCTAATTAGAAAGGAATCTTAAAGAAGAGAGTATAAAAATATGTTAGCTTTTTTATGAATGATTAACTATTAAAATTAATATAAATTGTTCTATTTATTTTTTTAAAAGTATTTTATTCAGTAAAATGTTTAAATATTATAAATATATTGATTTAATGTTAATATTTTTGAAAATATTTAAATTTTGATCAAATAAATTAGCTAAATGCTATAATCAATCTTGATATTAATATTTCAATAGCAATTTTATTAATTAATTCATCGAATTTATTAATTTTAAATTACAACGATAAATTAATATCAAAAAGCCAAAAATCCTTTGCCTTTTTTATTCATATTTACTTAATTTTAAATAAGGTTTTTATTTTCTCAATCTAAAGAAATAATAAATCTAAGTATTTTTTATAAATTATTTTATTTACATGCCAATTAAAATCTTGAATTGAATGAATTTAGTAATCTGCTAAGTTAAATAATTTGATATCAATAAATGTGTTTAATTAAGTATTTAATTTTATTATATTTTCACATGTATTTTATAGGAATTTAGATTATTTATGAAGCTCACCATATTCTTACATTAGTTAATTACTTTTTCTCTTCAATTAATTGGTAGTGTTTTTTTGTCTTGGAATAAAATAAATAATATGGAAAAATACATTTAAAATGTTTTAAATTTTAATAAAAAAGAATAAAAAAATAAAAATCATAATTCAACAAATATTTGATTTTTTTTTCAATAATTTTAAATAAAAAATGATATAAATTTAATAAATTCTAAATATATAAAGAAATTTATTTAGTTTTAACTAGGGTTTCTATTGATAAAAAACAAATAAAATTAAAGAGATCAAAAATATCAATTTATTAAATTTACTTTTAATTAAACTTATTTTAATTGCAAGAAAAAAAAACATGTAAAATAATATAATAGTATATTATGATATCTAAGATGTAAAATAATTATTTGTTTTCATATATTTTATTTAATCTCTTTTTTGCCATAAAAGTTTCTAAGCTCTGAACTGTCATCACTTACAAATCTTTAGATTAGTTTAAAGTAATAGTATATTTTTATTAAATTAAGATAAATTTTAATACACTAGAAGCTATTTAGTTTAAATATAAGCCAAACAAAATGCATAAAGAATTATTTTTTTTTTCAAAACTAAAAAAGATTTGCTCAGCTAATATGTCATTTATTTATTTTTAATAATTTAAAGTTAAATGTATTAATTTACTAGTTAATTAACAATCGATTATTTCTTTTCTAAATTAATTTTATTTTCCTCCCTACTTTTAATATTTTTTTATTTTAATATTAAAAGTAACTATTTAATTGGTGATGAAGGAGCATAAAAATTGGGACTTGGTTTAGCTCAGTGCACTAATCTATCATCTTTGACGCTTTACCTTGAGTAAAAATAAATTATTTAATTTTGTTAATATTTTGAATCATTTAGTTAATTTGGAAACCACTTCAAAATTCAATGAATGAGTTAATTAATATCAAGATATTAAAATAAATTATACTGTTTATATATATTATTTTTAAGCATTTGTCATTCCTTATTCATTTCATCTTTAAAAATTTTAAGCTTAAAACTTCTATTTTTTAGCAAATTCTTCTTCTTCCTTCTTTTTTTCAATATTTCTCAAAACTTTTTTATATTATCTGATATAATTTACTAAATTTTTAAGGAGAAATTTAATTGGAGTATAAGGTGTATCAATTTTGAGTTCTAGTTTAGCTAAGTTTTCTAATATCTCATTTTTGTCACTTGATCTTCGGTAAATATATTTAATTATAAAATTGCATTAATTAATATTTTGCTTCCTTTTTTATTTAGCTATAATCCATTATAAAATGAAGGAGTATCAATATTGGCTTCTAGCTTAGCTTAATGCTCTAAGCTCTCAACTTTAACACTTGATCTTAGGTAAAAATAGTTTTATTGCTAAGATTTTGGATTATTTTTTAATTTAATTATAAAAGAAAAAATTTTAATATATTAATTTAGTTATTTTATTATCGTATTTATTGTTTTTATTATTCCTGATTTAAATTAAATTATTTTAATCATTATTTGTTAACATATTTTTTTATTTTTATAAATTTTAAAATATTTTCAATTAACTTTCATATTTTTTAAATGACAAAAGATAGAATTCTATTGGTGATTCAGGTGCATCAAACTTGAGTTATAGTTTAAATTAGTGCCCTAATCTCTCAACTTTGACAATTTATTTTAGGTAAAATAATTTAATTCTTTTATCAACATTTTTGCATTTTTTAATTTGGAAAAACAAATAAATAATTAATTAGTTATAAATTTTATTTATTTTCTCATTTTTTTATTAATTTTAGCATAATCCTTTATAAAACTCACATATTTTTTCTTAATATAATAACTTTAAATTCAAACAGTATATAAAACTAATAGAAATTCAGAAGAAAACTGCTTAAAATCAAAAGGTTAGTTTAAAAAATAATAAAACTATCATCATACTGAATGATATAATTATTTTTAAAAAATATTTATATACAGTGATAATAAAATTAATTTAATGCATTGTTTTATTCAATAATAATTCAAAATATTAATCAATTAATTTTTATTGAAAAAATTCTTCAAATAAAAAAATAAATTATTTTTAATAAAGATTGTTATATATATAATAATTTTATTTATTACAATATTTTTTTGCTTCAAATATATAATTAAAATATTAACATGTATTTTAATTCAAATTTTTATTAAATCAATTAAAGTCATTTTGTTCAATAGACAACAGTTCTCTTAAAATATTTTTTCAATTATTTGTATAATTACTTATATTAATATCTAAATAAATATATTTTCTAACACAATATAATTCATTTTTTAATTTCAAATTTATATATAAGAATTATTAATTTAGTATTATAATACTAATTTTATCACCATTCAAAAACATTTGCTCGAAATAATAGACGATTTTTATTGAGATAGAATAAGCTACTCTCCTTAATTTTTAGAAGCCTTTGTATTTATAAATTAGAAGTTTTCAGAATATTTAAATAAGTTAATTAATTTAATTTGACAAAATTGAAATTCTTCACATTAGATTATACATATTTAAAAAATCTAAAATTTTGATTGATGCTAAAATTTATTATGTTTAAAACTCTTTTATTTAAAGTAAATAAATGAATGAAGAGGGGTAGGACTTTAGACATAAAATATTTATAAAATTATAATAAATATATTTCCATGTCAAAAATTATCAAGACTAAAAAAAAATAAATTATAAAAATAACCAACCAACCACTCAAACTAAAAGCAGTTAAACAAACATATTAATAAAAAATATGAATAATAAAAATTTAAGCTTTACTTCATTTTGAATTTTTATGTAAATTAATTCAGTAATTTTGTTAAATAATTCTTCAATGTTATAAGCAGTATATGCACTTAACTCATAGAAAATAAGACCTTATTCTTTAGCAAACATTTCTCCTTCTGTATAACTTACTTCACGACTTTATTTTAATATGATATGGTTGATATATTAAATTAAACTAAAAAATTGTTGTTAAATTATTTAAAAAAACCAAGATATGTATGTATGTACTTTTATTCTAAATCAAACTTATTTCCTACTAAAATCAAAGTCAAGTCAGATTTCCCTCTTGTTCTACATAATTCAATGAAATCACTAATTTTAAGAAAACTTTCACGACTAATAAATATTACATAAATTTATTTTTTAGCTAATTAATAGTTTATATTATTTTACTTAGTAATATCGTAAGTTAAAATAGCTCCTTATACTCTTTTAATGTAAATAAAAGTCAATCTTCTATATTCGCTCTTACCAGACTAAAATACATATCCAAAAAATTTTAAATGTATGAAAAATAAATAGTCAGCAAGCAAAAAATAAAAAAATTTTAATTTAAAATATAAAAATGATTAATTAATTTATTACTCCATCCCAGATGTTAATTTTAAAGATTTTATTGTCATATTTTATTATTTTAGTTGTATATTCTGCTCCTATTGTTGTTTCATGTTTATCTATGAATTTGTTTAATGAAGCTTATGAAGCAATACAACTTTTTCCTACAGCTTAATGTAATAAATTTAGAATAAAAATTAATATGTTAATTTAATTTAAATTTTATACTAGATTCACCAACTAGAAAGATATTAAACCTATAATTAAAATTCGGTTCCATTTATTTTGAAAAATAAAAAATTATAAATCGCTTACGATTTATTTTCTATTTTTTTTTTTCTTATTTGCTTGCTTGAATGGCTATTTTATTAGCTTTGTAAATTATTTATAAAAAATTCAAATTTTTTAAAAGTAATTATTTGAAAAAATATATGAATAATAAAATAATACCTCAATCAAATAACTAATTTTATTTTAATAAATCAATATTTTTTAAATTGGAGAGGGAGGGTGATAGTGGAGATACATATATTAATACAATAACAAATAACAAACATAAGCTTATAATTCTATTGATAAAAAAAGAAATAAATAAAAGAGATCAAAATTATTAATTTACAAAATTTACTTTTAATTTAACTTATTTTAATTGCAAGAAGAAAAAAAACATGTAAAATAATATTATAGTATTTTACGATATCTAAGATGTAAAATAATAATTTATTTTCATATATTTTATTTAATCTCTTTTTTGCCATAAAAGTTTCTAAGCTCTGAACTGTCATCACTTACAAATCTTTAGATTAGTTTAAAGTAATAATATATTTTTATTAAATTAAAGTACATTTTAATACACTAGAAACTATTTAGTTTAAATATAAATAAACAAAATGCCTAAATAATAATTTTTTTTCAAAACCAAAAAAGATTTGCTCAGCTGATATGTTATTTATTTATTTTTTCTAATTTAAATTTATTTATTGATTTACTAACTAATTAACAATCGATTATTTCTTTTCTAAATTAATTTTATTATTCTCCAAACTTTTAATATTTTTTTATTTTAATATTATAAGTAACTATTTAATTTGTGATGAAGGAACATAAAAATTGGGACTTGGTTTAGCTCAGTGCACTAATCTATCATCTTTGACACTTTACCTTGAGTAAAAATAAATTATTTAATTTTGTTAATATTTTGAATCACTTAATTTATTTAGAAAACCACTTCAATATTCAATTAATGAGTTTATTAATATCAGGATATTAAAATAAATTATACTGTTTATTATATTATTTTTAAGTACTTGTTATTGCTTATTCATTTCATCTTTAAAAATTTTAAGCTTAAAATTTCTATTTTATTAGTAAATTCTTTTTCTTACTTCTTTTTTTCTATATTTCTCAAAAATTTTTTATATTATCTGATATAATTTTCTAAATTTTTAAGGAGAAATTTAATTGGAGCATAAGGTGTATCAATTTTGAGTTCTAGTTTAGCTAAGTTTTCTAATATCTCATTTTTGTCACTTGATCTTAGGTAAATATATAAAATTATAAAATTGTATTAATTAATATTTTGCTTATTTTTTTATACTGTTACTAGATATATTATTTATAAATTATTCTGGCTTACTTACTTACTTAATTTCAATTATTTTATTATTTTTTATTGCTTACTATTTCAACAAAAGATTATGATTTTAAGTTGTAACATCAAAGTTTTATTTTATTTTAATATATTTTTCTACTCAACTTTATCTTTTTAATTAACTTAATATCTCTAAAAATTAAAAGCTATAATCCATTATAAAATGAAGGAGTATCAATCTTGGCTTCTAGCCTAGCTTAGTTCTCTAAGCTCTCAACTTTAACACTTGATCTTAGGTAATAATAAGTTTTATTACTAAGATTTTGGATTTTTTTTTAATTTAATTATAATAGATATAAAATTTTAATATATTAATTTAGCTATTTTATTATCACATTTATTTTTTTTTTTATTCTGATTTAAATTAAATTATTTCAATCATTATTTGCTAATATATTTTTATATTTAAATTTAAATTTTAATATGTTTTCAATTAAATTTTATTTGTTTTTAAATGACTAAAGATAGAATTCTATTGGTGATTCAGGTGCATCAAATTTGAGTTATAGTTTAAATTAGTGCCATAACCTCTCAAATTTGACAATTTATTTTAGGTAAAATAATTTAATTATTTTATCAACATTTTTGCATTTTTTAATTTGGAAAAACAAATAAATATTAATTAGTAATTTATTTTCTCGTTTTTTATTAATTTTACCAACTTCTTTTATATAAACTCACATATTTTTTCTTAATATAATAACTTTAAATTCAAACAGTGTAAAAAACTAATAGAAATTCAGAAGAAAACTGCTTAAAATCTAAAGGTTAGTTCAAAAAATAATAAAATTATCATCATGTTGGGTGATATAATTATTTTGAAAAAATATTTAAATATTGTGATAATAAAATAAATTTAAATTAATTTAATGTATTGTTTAATTCAATAATAATTAAAAGTATTATTCAAGTAATTCAAATGTTACTATAAAATTAAAAAATTTTTTAAATTAGACTTATAAATGATCATAAAAATAAATTTTTAACTGATATGATTATTAAAAAATTAATAATCTCTACATGTATAAATAATTAATAAATAAATTTCTATATAAGATATACATAAAAGATAATATTTTAAAAAGGATAATTATTTTTATTAACATTCTAATTTTCTTTTTATTCTGAATTTATAATAAATTTGACTTTAAATTGTTTAAAATTTATAACTAAATTTTTTTCAAGAAAATTTAAAGCTAACAACCTTTTTAATTTTTCTTTTTGTTTATAAGTATAGCTTATTTAAACGTTCAATATAATATCTTCTATCCCAGTTTGAGAAACGAAATTCAAATGAAGTAATATTAGAGTTTATTAATTAACTCATTAGTATTATACTTGATTCCAAATCATTATTTTCACTCACCAAAATTTTTAGACAGTAAATTAATGATTGTTTGCTGAGATATTTACCTATATTTGCATATGATTCCCTTGTACTTTCGTCATCATTTCCATAATCTAATTCTATTGCTAGATGCTATAAATTAGTTTATTTTATAATATCTAAATCTTTAAAAAACTCTTACTCTTTACTGTTACATTTTTGAAGTTTAAAATTTAATTTAAGTTTTTTTAAGTTTGGCATACTTAAAAGTTTTTAAGTTTTGAAATTATAATCGCCATTTTATTCTAAATTAGAAATATTAATCTCTAATTCTTATAAAGATTTACTTTTTATAATTTAATCAATGAAGGAAGATGTGTCAATTTCGTCAAAAAAAATTTGATGTTTTAAACTTACAATATTTTCTAATTAAGAAAGTTAATAAGATAATGCTTCAATTACTTACTTTTCTAATTTACAGCCCCAAATTTCCATTTATAATTATTTGAGTGATTTTGATTATTTCAAACATTAAACAATAGCATAAAATTATTCAGAGCTTACTTTTTGATGATTAAATCTCAAAATTAGCTATTAAATATATTAATTATCTTAAAGGAAATCTAAAAAACTATTAAATTGGCTAGCTTAAATAGTACAACTACCTAAATATATTTCAATTTTTGATATATCATCTTATCCTTTTATAAATAAAGAAAGAGATGAAGCATCAAAATCATTTAAAGAGATTCCTGACAAATGCAAAGTTATTTAATTTAAGTTTTTATAAAAAGAAAATGAATTTTTTTATTAATCAAATTCAATTCTTTTCAATGAATTATTGCAGCCTAAATATTTAAATAATGATGATAAAGATTCTTCTATTACAGAATTATTTTAAGATATCTCAAATTTTAAATCTTAGATTTTTGAAAAGCCTTCAAAGGCACTGAATAAATATTTGATTTGTTCAAAAGAATAATTTGAATCATAAGAATAGAGTTTAAATGATTCTAATTCTTTCTTATTTTAGATAAATAAAGATAAAGATTGAATTTCGCTTTCATCAAGCAAGATGTTTGTAATATTTAAGATCATAATTTTCTAATTTTCTTCATATTTAAATACTCCTTTATACACACTACTTTCATATTGGAATGAAAATGTTAAATTTTTAAGTGATTTAGATCGTTGTAAGTGTTTAAAAAGAGATAAACTTGCTTCTTAGGGATTATAATTAGTTGCTTAAATAGAAATATTTTAAATTCTAGTGTGATTGCCAAGAGAGCTTAGCAAATAATTTAATTCTATAGCAGATAAAATTTTTCTACTAGACTCAAAACTAAAAGATTCTAAATTTTTTAAGCTTTATATTAGTTGAGAAAGAGATTGTATTATGTTTCCACTAAAAGACTAATATACTAAATTTACAGTAAGATTATTTAGATTAGTCAATTTTGACAAATTTGATATAAACTAGTTGATCCCGTCTTCTTAAAGAAAAATTGCATTTTTAAAGTTAATTTCTAATTTGCTAACTTTTTCATTTACATTTATTAAGAAAGACTAAAAATCCTTTATTTTACTTGCTAAAGTTAAAATCATTTTTTTCAATTAATTTATTCATTAGAAATTGTTTAATTACAAAATAATTAATTACTATTGATTGTTTATTTCTTTTACAAATATAAAACATAAATCGTTTTATTTATTACAAATTTTCATTCTAAATTTTTAATTATATATATATATTCTGATGATGGTTTCTAGTAGATCTTGCCTTCTTTCAATACTCTTTTATTTATCACTGTTATTGATGGGATCGTTTCTATCATTTTCTTTATTTATTTTTTTAGTTTTTGTATAGCTTACCTTCTATATTGTGTACCTACTTCTATGGATATATGTATCTATAATTATATTATATGGTATACGGTTGTATAGTAAAAGTTTTTGATGTAAAAAAATTTTTTGTTTTTGAAATTATAATAGATTAAATTAATAATTAATTATAATTCAATTATAAAATATTTATATAAATTAGATTTTTTAATAAATAAATAAATAAAAAATATATTTCATAATAAGTGTCAGGCAAACCATGAAATTTTTGTCTGTAGGCATAATGCTATAATTAGAAATATTATAATTATTCCTAAAATTACAGAGCTAAAACAGAAAAATCTACTTATAAACATTATTTTTATAATACTTAAGAACATTCACTACCAGGTTTTTTTCAAATATTATTAAATAAATAACTGGCTGTCCTTAATTCCTACTATATTTTTAAGTATATGTTTTAAATATAAATATTAAGTTTAAATAGTGAATGCGATATCTCTTCATAAAACCAAATATATAAATTAATATTTGATAATTAATTAATTATTATATTTATTTGTTCTTTTTATCCATTTACAATTAATTAATTAAATTTCATAAACTGCTATTCAATATTTTTGAAAAAAAAATAAATGATATAATAGATTAAATATTACGAAAAATTAGAAGAAGTAATTATTAATTTTTTTATTAATAACTTTTAAATTTAAATAAATTAATAAAAAAAGTTTTTAAGCTCTTCATTTTTATCTCATTAGGTTATCCATATTGATCTCAAGTAAATTTAATTAAAAAATATTATTTTTATTATTATGAATATTTTTTGTTTATTTTATTTTAAATTTATTTAAATAAATAATTTATGTAAAAGAAATTATCATCATTATTTATTGATTTTTATTAAAACTTAAATTTTTTAGCAATTTTAACTTATTTTCATTTCAATTTTTAATTATTTATTGATTATTCATTTTTTATTATTTGATATATTTAATTCATTTTTGCTATTAAAACTTACACTTAATAAAAGCTATTTATTTGTTTTACATTATAATATTTTTAATTATAAAAGTTAATTTAAAACATTAAAGTTATTTTAATTTATTTGATTTGTTTTCCTTTTTCTTTTTATTATGATTTATTATTTTTTAATTCTTTGTTAATTTTATTAATTTTTAATTAATTTTATTATTTCATATTTTTTCTTCATTTTTTCCTCCTAATTAACTATTGTGAAATGCCTATTTAATTTATATCTTAATAAAATTATAAATAAAGCTAATTTTTAGAAAGCATAACATATCTTTTTTTTGAAAAAAATAAATTTTGAAAACCTAGATTGATATTTTTTTTTTTTGACATAGTCAATTATGCCAACTGCGCCAGAAACCCTATATTATTATATATTATATTTTCATTTTTTTCCTTCTAAATAACTATTTAATGATATATTTTTTCTTCAATATTTAAAAAGTGGAAATTAAATTGGTGATGAAGGTGCATCAGGCTTAGGTTCTGCTTTAGCAAATTGCATTAATCTCACGAATTTGACACTTAACCTTTAGTAAAAACAGTTTATTTGTTTTGGATTGTGATATTTTTAATTTTAAAAACTAATTAAAAACAATAAAGCTCTTTATTCTTTATTCTTTTTCTTTTTATTGTGCTTGCTTTTTTTTGTTCTTTCTTTGTTAATTAAGCTCATCATTTTATTTTTAAATTTTGCTTTTATTATTAATTAATTAATCTTATCATTTCATATTTTTTCTTCATTTTTTCCTTCTAATAAACTATTTAATGATATATTTTTTCTTCAATATTTAAAAAGTGAAAATAAAATTGGTGCAATGGGTGCATCAGGCTTAGGTTCTGCTTTAGCAAATTGCATTAATCTCACGAATTTGACACTTGACCTTGGGTAAAAATAGTTTATTTGATTTGGATTGTGATATTTTTAATTGTAAAAACTAATTAAAAACAATAAAGCTCTTTTTTCTTTTTTTTTTATTGTGCTTGCTTTTTTTTGTTCTTTCTTTGTTAATTAAGCTCATCATTTTATTTTAAAATTTTGCTTTTATTATTAATTAATTAATCTTATCATTTCATATTTTTTCTTCATTTTTTCCTTCTAATTAACTATTTAATGATATATTTTTTCTTCAATATTTAAAAAGTTGGAATGAAATTGGTGCAATGGGTGCATCAGGCTTAGGTTCTGCTTTAGCAAATTGCATTAATCTCAAGAATTTGACACTTGACCTTCGGTAAAAATAGTTTATTTGATTTGGATTGTGATATTTTTAATTGTAAAAACTAATTAAAAACAATAAAGCTCTTTATTCTTTATTCTTTTTCTTTTTATTGTGCTTGCTTTTTTTTGTTCTTTCTTTGTTAATTAAGCTCATCATTTTATTTTAAAATTTTGCTTTTATTATTAATTAATTAATCTTATCATTTCATATTTTTCTTC